ACAAAAAGTTCACTAATCCCCGTTGACGGGGATTGTCAACGGGGATTAGTGGAATAAGACCTTGAAAGGCTTTGAAAGTGGCTGAAAAGATAATATTTTTTATTGGCACCTTTTTAACCAATTTTTGACACCCGTGCCAATAAATGGATTTTATATAATTGGCAGTGGGCCAATATTTGGATTGGTGTATTCAAAACGTTAAAAAATATTTTAAATGCAATTTAAACTTAATTTTGAGACAAACAAGGTATAATTTTTAATAAACTCAAATTATTTTAAATACCCTTTTATTGGCATGTGTGCCAATAAAATGGATAAACAGATTTTACGCATACCAAATGTTGGCACACCACAAATATATAAAAGTTGGCGGTTAAATTATAAAATAATGTTTTAAAAAGGCAGTTAATATATTCAATAATAAGACAAAATGATTATGTATAGGGAAAACAAAATAGTTTTTGCATTTTTTTAAAAGATTATGATAGCTCTTACCTTAGTAAAAAACGAATATTTCGATTGTTTTTTTCGCACAGGTCCCGGTTTGTCAAACAAATGGTTGATGCGCCGCGATGTTTGAAAAAATAAAAAACGTGTGTAGCCAGTTGAGTAATAAATGATATTACTGTACAATTTCTACTAAAAAATATAAGGTTCGGCTACAAAAAACCTTAATTTTCTTAAAAAACTGGAGCATGCCAATAAATTGGTAGAGTGCCAATGATTGGGTGGTTTACCCTATTACAGAGAAATTTCAACTCAAAACTTACTACAGTAGAGTCTATTTCAAATCTGTCACCACTGAAGTCGTCTTCCAATCCGTCTATAAGGTGAAACAGCTTAGAGGTGAAGAAACAAGACCCGTAGTTGTATAAGGTAACTGAGAACATTAAGTTTTCTCCCACCACGATATCGTGAAGGTTTGTTGATTTCGGAAGAACCTGGAATAACGGACAGGGTAATCAGAGTCAGCAAGAATGATCAAGCCAAATTATTTCAAGCAGTCAAACTATACCCTTAAATCTGGAAGCTCAGAGAACCCTGTGATATGGATAAAGATTTCTGTCGGCTCTCCAACAGGCCTGCAAGTAGGTATTATGTATTTGATAGATGTTTTCTGACTCATGTAAATTAATCCTATTAGGAAGTACGAAAATTAACTAACCTCCCGTTAATCAAACAGACACAAGAACAGGTCACAGTCGTCTCGTAGACCTTGTTAGGAGTTTTAGGGAAGAACCACCAATGATACCGCACTATTTCTTTTGGTGGTAAAACTAATGACCCCGAGCTGTCGCCGCCCAGCCAAGGAACGCTGTTTAGTACTCGGATACTGAAATAATGATACAAGTATTAAATATGGTAACCTAGGTGATATCACCAAAGTGAAGAAGGTGGAAAAATGAATGTGATAGCTATCTGTAATGCAACTTACTGAATCTCCATCCTAGTGATGTTGTGCAAGTAGGCGGTGCAGTAATTGGTGCAGCCAGTGACGGTAGGTGGAAACTCGTACATGGCGTGGGTGGCCGGGTTGTACCCGTGGGACATCACCTCCACTTGACTGATCTCAGCATTGCCGCAGAAGCAGATACGGGCCTTATGAGGTAAGTATTAGAAGCATGTGTAGAGCCACATCACATGAGAATAAAGCCCAGTGTAGTTGCAAAATGCTCTATTAAGTACAACTACGTAAGATAATGTTCAAGTAATTAGCATAAAAAAACTCATAAGCCAATGTCAGCCATGGAGCCAATAATTGCAGAAGAACGTCGTAACGTCATAAAAAAAAACTGATTACCGTAAGCACAGCTGGTTTTACGTGCCTACCTTCTGAACTTTGTTGATGACTAGGTCCCATGTTTCATAATAATCGCCGAAAGACTTCGGTTCCAATGCGACTGATATTATTTGCCACCCTCGACTCTGAACTATTCCGCACATCGGTAAAACCACAAAATTCCTGAAAAATAACATTAATTTCGTATAATTTGACGATGTACTCGTAGATAGGAACTGTAACTGGCGTTAATTATACTCAGTACTCACGTGCTGTAAGGCGCTTCAAACTTAAAATACATAGGAATTTCAAGTTTATTAGCCAGCATAAAGTTTGTGAAAGTCGTTCTTGCTGGCACAGTGGGTGGGAGGACCACTTCTATTGGACAATCCCATTCTGTAGTCCACTCTGTACAGGGTGACCAAGTGTTCCCGATACAAGGTATACGGAACCAAGTGTGCTTAATTTTGACAGTGCTCGTGTCTTCGCTATCATCGTACCTCTTGTATTGAAAATCACCGCATATTAGATAGCCGTATACCTCATTTACTATTTTCGGCCTGAAATGTTGTTTTATAAAAACTTATGTGGTCTGGTGTTCCTACTGAATCCTAAAATTCCATGAAACGTGGAAAGAGTCTTACCTAAACCTCACAGTAAACAGTCTAGACTCGTTCGGCGGAATTACCGTGTCAATTGGATCTATTATAAAAATATTATCAGGATCTGCAACGAGAATGTGATCTAAAAATATTTTACATCTGCTTTTTGTCGGTCAAATGCGACTGCTCGTTATGTAGGCCATCTGGCCAACGAGATTGTGTAGTTGCAATTGTGTGTGACTTTGACGCATGAGAATTATCTAATTAAACATCTGAGACGTAGCCCGTAGCTCCGTACGTTTCTTCTTTATTGCTTAAACAGGAAGGTGGATTACAATTTGGTAGCTCTTGTTTTTACCACTTGGCAGTTCATTTTAGGTAGGTAAACTTAGGGTGGATTCGACCAAACAAGAGTTATTAATTTCAGAATAAATCGTCAGTTTTGATATATTTCCCATACTGAAACTGTCAATGTGCCAGTTATACCAGGAGTTAAGTAGGTATTCTCAGATAAAAGTTTGGTCGAATCGGGTCTTAAAGTAGTTGCACAAACCTGGCATCCACTGTATGTAACCCTCTTCTTGCTCATGGTTTGTAACACACAGCGTCTGCGATATATTCCTCGTGATATCAGAGACGCTGCCCATACCGAAATCCAGGTATCTTTCAAACACAGACGCCGATGGAATGTAGCTAAGCCGATTGAGACTGTTCTCCATGAGGTGAGTGAAGCGACTCTTGCGCTTCCAATTCTTCTCGAAGACATGGTCGTTGATATTGAAGAGAGGATTGCCTGGTAGGACTACTGTAGCTAGAGCGTTCAAGAAAAGCGGTTCCTGAAAATATAAACCATATTTTCGACACGATTTAAAGACCTATACCTACATTGGTCTAAATATTTATTGAAAGGTGAACCTTCTTACCTGATTCAAAACTAGGCAGACCAGTTCTCCCGTATAAATTCCGAGCGCGGTGCCAGAAAAAATTACAGTCGTCGTAATGGTTTCGTAAGCCCTGATAAGCCCACAGTTTCCGGTGGATATCTGATTGGAAACAACCAGCAAATTGGTCAGTAAGTATGTAATGAAAAGTAGGTAATTTAAACTACGAACTATTCTTTTATCTGTTATAGTTTCACTCGAACACTAATATTGCCTTGCCCGAATACCATGTCACTGAGTGACACAACTACACAAATGACAATTCTACGTACGTGATTCTTGTCTATCAGTAGGTAAGTTTAATTCGTCATCATCAGGTAACATGGGAAATACTCATGATATACAAATGACTAAGTACGACCGCGATATATTTCAATTTTAGACGATGTGGATCATTGAATCGCAAGCTGTATCACCTCATCTTCATGTGGAGTGGTTCGAATGGTTTCAATCAATGCAAATGGTGTTTATTTCGTAAAAAGTGACCTGATCTAGCATTCTAAATTTCTAACCTGGAAGTAGCCTTGTCCACCCAAAGGCAAAAGCCACTGGTACGTGGTCTCCACTGCCGATCGGTTCATTATGTTTATCACGGCCTTTCGATGTTCCGATACATTTTTACAAACTCGGAATACAAGTTTCCTTTTGCTAAGATACACCTCTGGACCTAAATTAATTGAAAACATACTTACTCAAAATAGTGTTTTTTTTATTTGGAGCTTACTTTACTTATAAACTTAGCAAAATAACTTTATTACAACTTTCCTATTTAAGTTGGACATTATAACATTTACTTCGTAGACGACCTTAATGCCACATTATGACATACTCTCCCAGTCAACATTTGGAGCCTGGAGTAAGGGTGCATTGAAGTAAGTATGGAGTTATCGGTTTATGTAGGTCAAGATAGGTAGGTACCTACTTATTCTTTAAAGATAATCTTACCAAAGCATTTTCCAACGATAGTCAGTCTATAAATACTTCCAGAAGTATCTTCTATCACGTAATAGTCTGTATACGATTGCCCAGACAACCGGGGTCTGAACAAAATCCTAACTTCTGCACTATCCCCTGGCTTTACAGGAGTTGAAGTAATCGTCAAATTAAATACACGATCGATACTATTCAAAATATACATCAAAGACACGCGGTATGATAGTACTTTCTGTAAAATATTCATTAATAAATAAATCAGAAACATTAATATTGAAAGCAATAAAATATATCACCTTTTTAAATTCATTAAAATGTAACGCTTGAGTAGGTAAATAAAACTAACATCCGATGAGTTTTCGACTACAATTATTTTCTCCGCTTCGGTATCCACACGAACAAAACCAAAATCTACAACTTTGATTGGAGAAACGCTTTCATCCGAAAAGTTCTGCATTTTTATAGTTATTTATAGGTCTGCAATCTAGAGTATGAAGTAGAAATCTCTATTCTTAGAAATAAATAATAAATACACAATCAATCAATTTTCTCCAAGAATGTTTGATTGACAGTGTAGTGAAAGCCATCACAAATATCAAAATATTTTATTCGTCCATCAGCCAGTGTTTTCTATTGAGAAATAAATGCTTCTCTGCACTGATTCGGACTGTTCAGTGACCTGTCAAAACAACCTGACAGTGACAGCTGTATATTTTTAGTCTGTGTTACTAAAGTACTAAACGTCAGTGTAAGTAAGTAATTCTTGGGAAATGCATCCGTTTGTTTTTTGTGAATTTCATTTAAATACGATGTTGTTTAGCTGATAAAAGTTTGTTTTGCTAGCTTAATAATTAAAGGTTAATTGTTTGGTGGAAGTGTATTCGATTAGTTTGTCATAAGAGATCGTGGTTGTTTTAAAAAAGGTGCTCCCATCCTCCGCAGTCGTAAGTCGTAACTCATAACTTCCTGCTTGAGATGCTACCTTTTCTATCTTTTCTACACGTGAATTAACATAATAGGATGGAGTCAGGCACGGACTGGCTTTGTGAAATTCTCCAACATGTCCAACTGGAACAGTTTTATTTACCAATCAGAGATCAGTTGCAGGTAAATAAAGTGGTTTCTAATTACATACTTTGATGCAATGGAATTTTTGTGTAATGCAGTTATGTATTTCGGTTGTAGATCACAAGATTAGCTCACTTTGACTATGTGCATGCAGAAGATTTGGAGAAAATTGGCATTAGCAAGCCAGGAGTACGTAGATTGCTAGATGCTGTGAGAAAGAAAAAGCTGCAACTCTGGAATCGCAAATTTTGGAACAAACTGTTTGGTTCGTCCTCAAGTTCGATATCTAGAGAAAAGACCGATTTAGCTTTGAAACCTGCTGCTGAAGAGGAGACAAGGACAACATGCATAATTTTAGAAAAAGATATAATGTGAGTATGAGTGAGATATTTTTATAAAAACAAATTCTGACTAGTGTACATGATTTACTTATTTAAACACACAGATTAGAGTCAAACAAAAGCTAAAGACATCATAAAATGTGAAAAAATATTACATTTTGTTACAGATTGCATAATGAACTAGGCAATGGGTCATTTGGAGTAGTAAAAAGAGGTGAATGGAAGGTTTCAAGCCAAGGGGCTCAACCTGTACCTGTAGCAGTAAAAGTATTGAAAGCAGATGCATTCTCACAGCCCGGCATTTATGATGATTTTCGGCGAGAAGTTGAGGCTATGCATAGTTTGAAGCACCCGAATTTGATCAAACTTCATGGGGTAGTGTTTCATCCTCTGATGATGGTGTGTGAGCTTGCTCCTATGGGAGCTTTATTGGACTATCTAAGAGCTCAAAATGGCAAAGTGTCATTGAACTTCATATCAAAATGGGCAGCCCAGGTGGCAGCTGGTATGGCACACCTGGAAAAAAATAGATTCCTTCACAGAGATCTGGCCTGCAGAAATATATTGCTCTCTACTTTAGAACTGGTGAGTGAATTAATTAATTATACCTGAAATTGCAACAGAGTTGCAGTAATAACAACATGTAATAATTTCATACATACAGTAACAGTACTGTTTCTTTATGTTTATTTATTTAAAACAAGGGTTGTTTACATAACTGTATTACTAACTACTTCCAATCTATAATCTAGGGTTACACCCATGTTTGAAAGAAATGTAATCTTTTACATTACAAAAAGAAATACCATCAACTGTTGTAGGTACCACTTTTTTTTGTGTGTGCAGGGCAATAAAGATTTAAAATAAATAAATCAACAGAACATCAGATGATAAACTCATATTATTTTGTAACAATATCACATAAAATATTATGCCTGCATAAGATGCCAGTGTTTGATTTGATGTGCCATTGTCTGCTGTAACATGCCATCCTTTTGTTATTACATTAACACTTCCTATACAAATAATAATCCTAATATAAAAATCAGTGATCAGACCATAACCCTCTAAAATTAGAAAAAAAAACTGTGATTTTAGCCTCATATTCTCTATGCTGACGTTTTCTCATTTGTTTCTGCCAATTTAATATGGGTGATTTCCACACGCGTGTCTTACCCGATCCGAGTTAATGCTTATAGCTTTTAAAATGTGAATAATTTATCAGGTAAAAATCGGCGACTTCGGTCTTATGCGTGCGTTACCTGACGCTGACGATTGCTACGTGATGAACGAACGGCGACGCGTTCCGTTCCCGTGGTGTGCGCCTGAGTCGCTGCGCACGCGACAGTTTTCGCACGCGTCAGATGTCTGGATGTTTGCTGTCGCGCTGTGGGAGATGTACACCTTTGGGGAGGAGCCTTGGATGGGTAAGAATATCTAGTACCTTTTACTGTCTGTAGACACATCTCATGCTAGCATTACCCGATGCTGACGATTGCTACGTGATGAACGAACGGCGTCGCGTGCCGTTCCCGTGGTGTGCGCCTGAATCGTTGCGCACGCGTCCGATGTCTGGATGTTTGCTGTCGCGCTGTGGGGAGGAGCCTTGGATGGGTAAGAATATGGCAAAAGCTACTTTTGCCCCTTGTTGAGACACATCATCGTTACCTGACGCTGACGATTGCTACGTGATGAACGAACGGCGTCGCGTGCCGTTCCCGTGGCGTGCGCCTGAATCGTTGCGCACGCGACAGTTCTCGCACGCGTCCGATGTCTGGATGTTTGCTTTTGCGCTGTGGGAGATGTACACCTTTGGGGAGGAGCCTTGGATGGGTAAGAATATCTAGTACCTTTTACTGTCTGTAGACACATCTCATGCTAGCATTACCCGATGCTGACGATTGCTACGTAATGAACGAACGGCGTCGCGTTCCGTTCCCGTGGTGTGCGCCTGAATCGTTGCGCACGCGACAGTTCTCGCACGCGTCGGATGTCTGGATGTTTGCTGTGGCTCTGTGGGAGATGTACACCTTTGGGGAAGAACCTTGGATGGGTAAGAATATGGCAAAAGCTACTTTTGCCCCTTGTTGAGACACATCATCGTTACCTGACGCTGACGATTGCTACGTGATGAACGAACGACGTCGTTCCCGTGGTGTGCGCCTGAGTCGTTGCGCACGCGACAGTTCTCGCACGCGTCAGATATCTGGATGTTTGCTGTGGCTCTGTGGGAGATGTACACCTTTGGGGAGGAGCCTTGGATGGGTAAGAATATGGCAAAATGTACTTTTGCCCCTTGTTGAGACACATCATCGTTACCTGACGCTGACGATTGCTACATGATGAACGAACGGCGTCGCGTGCTGTTCCCGTGGTGTGCGCCTGAATCGTTGCGCACGCGACAGTTCTCGCACGAAGTTTTCTGTCGCGCTGTGGGAGATGTACACCTTTGGGGAGGAGCCTTGGATGGGTAAGAATATCTAGTACCTTTTACTGTCTGTAGACACATCTCATGCTAGCATTACCCGATGCTGACGATTGCTACGTGATGAACGGACGGCGACGCGTACCGTTCCCGTGGTGTGCGCCTGAATCGTTGCGCACGCGTCCGATGTCTGGATGTTTGCTGTCGCGCTGTGGGGAGGAGCCTTGGATGGGTAAGAATATAGCAAAAGCTACTTTTGCCCCTTGTTAAGACACATCATCGTTGCCTGACGCTGACGATTGCTACGTGATGAACGAACGGCGTCGCGTTCCGTTCCCGTGGTGTGCGCCTGAATCGTTGCGCACGCGACAGTTTTCGCACGCGTCAGATGTCTGGATGTTTGCTGTGGCTCTGTGGGAGATGTACACCTTTGGGGAGGAGCCTTGGATGGGTAAGAAAATAGCAAAATGTACTTTTGCCCATTGTAGAGACATCTCATGCGAGCAGTACCATTACTATGTGTTAGCAGCAGATGATGGCTCTGAAGTAATATTGAAGAGTTGTAAGTATGCTCCGAACAAATACAAGATAATTTTAGGTTCCCTAACAAGTGACTCGCCATGATCTAAAGAAGCTGATTCCTTTCATTTCAAGTTGTAGCGGCGACAAGCTATTCTATTAAAAACATAATTTTGAATCGCGCCAAATAGCGCTTTGTCGCATAAAGTAAAAAACTGTACTGATTTTATCAAAAATATTTTCACAGTCTTATCACATGGCTAAAAGGTTCACTGTATTCTACAAGCGTGTAGCCTTCAGATTTCATTTCGAATAGTTTTCCTTTAGTTGAAGGTTACTGATTTACTGATGAGCGATTAGGTACCTACTCATTTATGTATTTTTTCCCTAAACTGTGTTATAAAAATATGCAATTTTGATTGTATTACTGTAACACTGACAAGTGTTACACAAAATTCAATGTTTCACTTGACCTCCTTCGGGCTTGTATGGTCAGAGATACTTCGGCGAATAATGCGCGAAGGCCAGGCAATGACCGCACCTAATATGTGCACTTCCGATCTCGTAAAAGATTTAATATGTATCACAATAGCACCTTAATTCAAGTGATTTATTTTATGGTTCTATTTATAAAAAACACTGACAATTTATAAAGATTTCATTGACCTTGACCTGTTGCATGTTCAAGTTCACTAAAATAAATTAAATATGTAGGTTGATTTACATTTCCAGTGGTACCAAATATTCATTTCCTTTTAATTTATGTTGTCTTTTTTACTTTTGTATGGCCTGAGCATAATTAATTAGACTTGCTTAAGTTGCTTAATTGAAGTCTGTAATACTTTCATGATGAGGCCGATTTCAAAAAATATAATCTATCTGCACACTAAAGAAGTTGATATTTTTTTAAAATTAATATTAACACGCGAATCTTCGGCTAGCAGTCATTTGACTATACGAAATTAGTCCTTAATAACACAACGTTTCTTTCTACGCAGGGTTGAACGGCTCAGAGATCCTGCGCCTCATAATGCGCGAGGGTCAACGGCTAAGAGCGCCCAACGCCTGCCCGCCCGATGTCTATATGCTCATGATGCAGTGCTGGGACCTCAACCCTAAGGAGAGGCCGACTTTCGCCGGCATCATGCGGTATATGGACACGAATAAGTCTGAGACGGCCATTGCAGCTCTTAGGTGAGTACAGACAACAGCACTATTGTGCTTTGTGTAGATCTTATTAGATCTGCACGCTTAGGGTGTAGTGCTGGGACCTCAACCCTAAGGAGAGGCCGACTTTCGCTGGCATCATGCGGTATATGGACACCAACAAGTCTGAAACGGCCATCGCGGCGCTTAGGTAAGTACAGATAATAGCACTATTGTGCTTAATGTAGGTAGACCTTATAAGATCTACAAGACTACATGCTAATGATGCAGTGCTGGGACCTCAACCCTAAGGAGAGGCCGACTTTCGCTGGCATCATGCGGTATATGGACACCAACAAGTCTGAAACGGCCATCGCGGCGCTTAGGTAAGTACAGATAATAGCACTATTGTGCTTAATGTAGGTAGACCTTATAAGATCTACAAGACTACATGCTAATGATGCAGTGCTGGGACCTCAACCCTAAGGAGAGGCCGACTTTCGCTGGCATCATGCGGTATATGGACACCAACAAGTCTGAAACGGCCATCGCGGCGCTTAGGTAAGTACAGATAATAGCACTATTGTGCTTAATGTAGGTAGACCTTATAAGATCTACAAGACTACATGCTAATGATGCAGTGCTGGGACCTCAACCCTAAGGAGAGGCCGACTTTCGCCGGCATCATGCGGTATATGGACACCAACAAGTCTGAAACGGCCATCGCGGCGCTTAGGTAAGTGCAGACTACAGCACATTATGGTCTACGAGCTTATGATGCAGTGCTGGGACCTCAACCCTAAGGAGAGGCCGACTTTCGCTGGCATCATGCGGTATATCGACACCAACAAGTCTGAAACGGCCATCGCGGCGCTTAGGTGAGTACAGACAACAGCACTATTGTGCTTAATATAGACCTTATAACATCTACATGACTACATGCTAATGATGCAGAGCTGGGATCTTAACCCTAAGGAGAGGCCGACTTTCGCTGGCATCATGCGGTATATGGACACCAATAAGTCTGAGACGGCCATCGCGGCGCTTAGGTAAGTGCAGACTACAGCACATTATGGTCTACATGCTTATGATGCAGTGCTGAGACCTCAACCCTAAGGAGAGGCCGACTTTCGCCGGTATCATGCGGTATATGGATACCAATAAGTCTGAGACGGCCATTGACGCATCTTATACAGTTGTAATAGTTACTATTTTGCAATGAAAATGTGTAATAGCCCTATATACCTACATTGTATAAATCGTTTCATCCACGAAGACGCGCCACCCAATTTTTGGTCGAGAAAAGCGCGGGGTGCGCGGAGTTTGATCCGAGCAATCCGAGCATCGTTATTGTAGTGTGCGTGTGCACTCATGGATAATTTAGCATGTACCGATAACACTCAACCATTAGCGGCAGAGTGGTGGGGCGCGTCTTCGTGGATGAAACGATTTATACCATAATACATTTGATCTCATGATTGATTTGTAATTGACAAGTGTGCCTTGTCATGTATGGTTCATAAACAAATTGGCTATTTATTTCGCTTTTAAAAATCGATTCTACAATTTATATTGGCCTTAATGATATTAATTTTTTTCTAATTATTTGCAGTTAAATTATAATGAAGATAACATTTTAATCCAATGTTCTCTTTGTTATCATAATGTCAATAATTATTACTATACTATTATGTCAATTATGTGCGTGCATTTAATTGCCGATATCATTACATAATCTAATTATTTATGAATGCCGACTCTTGTTTTGTTATGAAATGCTAAAATATCGTGTAGAAAGCAAAAACGATTCGCGTTTTCCAGTAATTTCATGGTTATTAACATTTGTAGTAAAATACCGCGCTTTCGATTAATTATCTGTCGTGATCATGATGATAAATGTTCAAATGAAGTAATTAGTATATTTTATAGTCTTTTTTAGCAATTTTATTGTTTTACAGTTACCGAAGACAAGGTCAAATGACCATAGAGTCAGGAGACGCGATAGTTCTCATAGACAAGAGACAAGAGCTGCACTGGTGGAAAGGGCAGAACCAACGGACATTGGAAGTCGGACTTTTTCCCAGGTAAAATAATTACTCATATCCAAATAAAAATAAACCATATCTGAATTTTGTGGGCAAAATATTTATGTAATTTACAGGGAAAATTATTATGGAAGGAGGAAAATAATCCAATCCAATTAGTGGTTTCGGTATTTCTCACATAATCAGCAGCCACTAAATACATATACCGCAATATTATCAATTTTTGAATAAACATACACTTCGAATACCACACATTTATGATTTTGTTTTATGAACAATAAACATGCACATCGTATTGCGGTATAGTTTATTAGTAGCTATTAAAATAAATGTTTTTCATGCTAATTATTACGTTACAGCACTTTAGTGGCGTCAGGGAAGAGCAAGCACACTCCGACGAGCAAAAAGCCACAAACGGACTCTCCCGTGCGTAAAGGTTCGTATTTTTTGGAAACTCTAGTCATAATAACTGAAAAATGGTAGTATTAACCCTGGGAATATATTTTTTTAGTAACATTGTCTATGCGACCTTAAAACGAGACATTGAAAACGATACATGTCTTTATTTATTAGCTAAGCCCTAAGCTAAAGATTATACTATGTTTACTAGAGTTAGTTAACATTGTTACAAGAACTATACTGCAATAATCGTCACCATTATTATGCAAGGGTATCGTCCGTGTTCCTTTTACAGCAATCGTAAACCTCATAGGCGAGTACGCAATTGCTTTTACTTTCATTGGTTAAGAGTCTTCAATGCTAATTGTAATTACCGCTAGTATAGTCAGTGTCAAATGTTATGACATCGTAATTTGAAGTCTTAATGTCAAAGAGTAATAAGCTTTATCGCGTCTAATTAGAATACACATTAAAAAAATTGCTTGTCTTAAAATAACTAATATACGTAACATAAAAACAATTGACATGTCATGTTATGTTAGTTTCAAGTTTGAGCCATAAAAACAGTAACAAGGATTCTTACAAGACTTCACCTTGTTGGTGGTATTCGTGTACAATGTTTCAAAACAATACACGTGATAATACAAACATGTAAATAACGCTTCTTGCTATTAGACAACGTCTAGTATTCTAGTAGAATGAGTACGCACGCTCATACAAATGGATATGGACTTAGAAGCAGAGTGTTATTACAAATTACCGCATAAAGGTTTAATAACTTAAACTCGAGTAAATGCAAGCTAAAAAGTCACCATAACCATGCGAATTTCAATCTTAATCCTTATATTTACTATGGAATTACAGCATTTACAGCGTCACTTTGGCTTGGCATTGAGTGCCGCTAATCTTGTAAATAGATGTGTTATCGATAGCGTACAGTGACTAATTGAGTTATATGGTCTCCTGAATAAATATGGCGGGCCTGCTTGAATATGTATGGCGTCATACAATGGGCACGACTGTGACGTGAACGTGATATCCCACACATGCTTTACATAAGTAAACATTGCTTGCAATCCTTAGGCTGGGTTTCCACCATGAGGAAAAATGAATATGAGACACATGGATTTTCTTAGAGTAAAGGAAGTATTACAGAGTGGGTAATAAGTGATATGTTTGATCTTATAAGTGAAAAAAAAAGTGTTTATTAACTCACTTTTTCAAAAAATTCAAATCAGTGGCTCGTAAACTGTTTAAACGAATCCGGTAACACAGATTACCACTTTTGCACCTCTAGTTCTCCTTTTTGGTTGATAGTTTGCATCCATAGCTTTAAACAAAGATCCATCTTCTAAGATTCTACTAAGATTCAATGAAAATACAAGCGAAACTCTGTGGATATCATATAAGTCCCATGCTATGAAGTGTAGTAAATACCTCGTGTAAAAGCAGCCTTAATGTATGTATGGTGTCAATCGGTTCACAACAGTCACAGCACTCGCAGCCTTTTAAGACATGATGATATCATCAACGTAAAGTTGATCCACTTGGAAGACACCAAAAATGAAAAATTGCGTCACTTTTTAGGGTTTAAAAAGTAAGCATGATTTTGAATCAAAGTATTTTTGACGATTAAGTTTTGGTCATGAAATTGAAAATAAACACAAAGTAAAATACGCACTTACTATGTAAATTAGAAAAATTCCCAAGATACTTAATACACATATTTAATATTATAAATTCATGAAACTGTAAGACAATGCAAGGCCTTTTTGAAGACAAATATTATGTGTTATGTTCGTAATTTTATTTTCATAACATTTTTCATAAAAAATAGAAATGGCGTGACGCGACCCCTGAAATATTTTGTATTATCGTTAACAAACAGATGACTATGTTGACATTGTGTTTCTCTCAGATAAAGATTAAGTGCAGATAACATTCACATGAATCACTGTGATTTATAATTTTTCCATTATAAACAAACAATATGTAGTTGTTATTCTCCCATAGATTTTAAATGGCAAAAAGAACCTTCAACGGCACTAGCTCATGAACTAAATTGAATAATTTTAAAGCTACTAAAATTAATGTTTACAGCAAATTAAAAACTAACTGCTGAGGCATGGAAGCGGCACGGGAAGGGTGACATTGACATATAACTTGACATAGCATGCAAATCTGAAGTCTCACTGAATTTTGACGTCTCAAAGTTCATCGCCATAAACCAAAGAAGAAGAAGACGTCTCAAAAACACCCTCTCGTGCCGCTCCTATATCTCAGGCACCGACTGAGTTAAGCGTTAAACCAGGCCTGTTCATCTCCGCGATTTTACATCGAAAACAAAACACGCACGATGGCCCACCTACAGGATACTATTCGACAAGGCCTCACATACTATTACGAGCGAACATTGACTCACGCACGCGTATTCTTGTGTATGATGGAAGAAAATAAAGAAAATGTTGTACTAAATACTGTGCAGTATTTAACTGCCTAAATAATAATAAAAACACAGAATGTACTTTTTTAAGTTGCCTCAAGACACTGAGAGGTAAATAAGTAGTTAATATTATTCATGATAATTCATGCTAAATCATGTATTTCCTCCGCCATTTTCCGCAGTTTGGCACCTCACGTCACATCATTTTACCGAAGTCAGCCCTATAGCTTCGGCGCAGTGCCGATCACTGACGTTTGTCAACAAAATGGTGCTTGACTCTTGAGACAGGCTAAATTACACCATATTGTTAATGACATTGAGCTTACATTTTTTTAAATACCTTCGCGAAGTAAAACTTCTGTACGTAGTACTTATTATTATTCTGTGGTTAAACCCTCAAATTCAATTCATTAAACTCAATTTGTACCTAAATGAATTAATTTACTATCCATTTGAAACGAAAGTCTCATGTTTACAGCATCAACAAATTCAACAGCATCAATAACACCCAACGGTTCGTCGGACGACTTGGAGGTGGTCTTACGCAAGCGGCGCACAATCGAATCCACGCAGCCTTCTTCGACGCGCGGCGGCAACACTGGGAGCAAACACTTCAACTACAATAAGCTGGTCAACGATAGAGCGCTTGGAGGGTTAAGACTGACACGCTCTGCCAGAGATGCGTACTCTAGGAGTTTGAACCAAGGTTAGTTTCAGTTAGTTAGGTAGGATATAAGACTGCTTATGACGCGCGTCGGTAACACTGGCAGCAAACACTTCAACTACAACAAACTGGTCAACGATAGAGCGCTTGGAGGGTTAAGACTGACACGCTCTGCGAGAGATGCGTACTCTAGGAGTTTGAACCAAGGTTAGTTTCAGTTAGTAGTATTAAAGGCTGGTCGATCTATTCTCATAAATAAAACACTGGATACTCATCTTTCACAATATATTGCCTTATTTTAGTTACAATTCATCACTTAGCACAAAAGCGCGCGGAGTCGTCTCCGCGCGTCCCTCTATTCTGACGTTTGATTCTCGTGTGACATTGACGTATTGTCAATGTCACTATGACAGCATCTCATTGGCTATAACGATACCGCTATTTTAACGTTTTATATTTTTCACAATTAACAGTAGTTAGCTAACTACTGTTAGTTAGGTAGGATATAAGACTGCTTATGACGCCCTGTGGTAACACTGGGGGCAAACACTTGGACTACAACAAGTTGGTCAATGATAGAGCGCTTGGAGGGTTAGGGCTGACGCGTTCTGCTAGGGACGCGTACTCCAGGAGTTTGAATTAAGGTTAGTTTTAGTTGACTAGACTCAGAGTATGCTAGCTTATGATGCGCGGTGGCAACATTGTGAGCAAACACTTCAACTACCTACCATAAATTAACTGGTGAACAATAGGGCGCATTAAGGGTTATGGCGCGCAATGTGAGGGATGCGTACTGTAGGAGTTTGAGCTAAGGTTAGTTTTAGATAGCTAGATGACTGCTGTGGGAAAAACTGGGAGCAAATTGCAACAAAACTGGGTAACGATTAGGTGTTCGGGGGCCCACCTTCACGTAATTTAACCTATTGTTCCTAATTTATCGAATCCGTTTTCTTACAATTTTCAGACGGTATTTGCTCATAAGTTTATGTGCAGTTGCTGTACGTGGTCGTCCAATTCACACTTTTATTGCGAGAATGGAAATACATAAATAAGTTACGATAAAGCTGTCTCATCGGAACAATCCATTCCATTCTATTGTTGTGTTTCTTGCGATTGCTAGTTTTATGTAGCGTAAAATAAAATAAAACTGTAAATATTATGATTTTTGTTGACATTATAATTAATATGAAATATTTTTATCATTTCAGTCAAAGAAGATCTTTTAATTGATTTGGATCTTCCGCCATCTACGAAACTGTCATCACCCACGAAGAAACCTGTGAGCCAGAACGTGTCCTTATTGGACGAGCCTATTGATGTTCCCGAAATAGGTAACATAGCCCTTTACAAGTCATTATGTAATAACTTTTTATATATTTTTTTTACTCAATTACCATTTTTTCCGTTACAGGTCACGAAGCCAGTTGGGGTGAGCCAAGCATCGAAAGTCTTCCGTGCTATACCTCCAGCCAAAGCGGGCCTCACTGCCCGAATCTCTACGGTGCTAAGTCCTTAGATAACCTAGCCCTGCCTAGCAGCAGCCATCTGTCCCTAGCGCAGCCCGATCCCTTCGACACCTCACAGTTCTGGCCCGCGCAAGGTACCAGCAGACCAAACTACGATAGACATCCCTACACCAACCAAACCGCCAACGAATCTCAACGATACTCAACCAATAGCTTTACGACATCGTCCACCTCAGATAGCACCAACATTTATAACAACATGACGTCCAACAACAGAAACAACTCTCTCCCAAACACGTCCGCATACGGGACCATTCCCGGTACGTATGCGAACAGCAACGCTCTCTCTCTAGAAAGAAACGTCAACGAATCAACCGTCGTCTCGTCCTTAGCGGATATGTCGCTGGACGACCGAATCTCCGAATCCTTGAATCTCAGATCTAAGAACACAAACAGTGAAAACATTTACTCGAATAGCGACGTGTACGCCGACGCGCGATCTACGTCCGTTACTGGCGCCAGTAACGCGGCCAACGATAGGTACAAAGACATTCCCATCTACAACAACTTCGAGATGAATCCCGCTCAGGAGACGTTCATCCTGGAGACGAAGGACTACTACACGAAGCTGTCGACGCCGACCGGCGCGAAGACGAGAAACGACTACGAGAAAAACATTTACGTGCCGAAGTACGAAGACGAGGTTGAAAAACTGCAGAATTTCAGCGATTCGATGGAGAATTCGAAGAATTACTCCGCATTAAAATATCAGAACGTAGATTACAGTAATTATGCAGCGTATGGAGGCAACTATGGGGGCAGTGTTGCGTCTACCTCCCGAGGTGAGGTGACCTACGATGAAGTGAACGACACCGCGAGCAACTTCTACAGCGAGATCGGGGAAGCGAGCAACCAAGGCATTTACAGTAGAAATATGAATTCTAGTTTGTACGACGAAGTGTACGAAGAATCAGTACCGAGACCGCATCGCCCAGCTCCGCCGTGCCCCTCGAAACCAAAATAGTATAATCTAAATCAGTTTCAATATTAGTGTGATGATTTTAGTGCAAAAATGGTTACCTAAATTTTGTAATTTTTGTGCCTTTTAACGCATATTTGCCGTTTGCAGTGAGATTTTAATTCTATAGTTATGAAAGCATTATTGCAACATTAGCAAACATTACCATTTTCAAATTTTTACTTTGATTTTTTGACGTATTATTGGTAGTTTAGTTAGCAATTTAGACTGCGTTTTACAAGACTTATTTGCCTCGAATTTTGGCTTATTAATTTTAGTTAAAAGTCATGGCGAAACCAGTGCTGGTGGTTTAATTTTGTGATATTATAAACCTACTTAAAAAAGGAGGTTCTCAATTTGACGCGTAATAATAATTAGGTAAATATTGTTTAACAATATGCATATTGATGTTCTTTTCGAATTTTCAGCTATTTCGTATATGACGTATTTTGTGTAATGCTTGATTAGTTTTATCATATTTTGTTTAGTCTAAGTCAAAATAAGCAATTTTTACATTATTTACTAAATTAAGGTTTATTTAAAGTTTAACTGATTTACACAAACTCGAATCTTTAGTGCTAATATAAATAATAGAATAGTAAAAGATACTCGGTCAAACATCACATGGTGCCTCGTTATTTTGTACCTGTTAGATTAATTATGTGCTCAGTCAATATTCTTCATCACATTTATGGCCGAAACCCACCGGAGCTGTCATCATCATCATCATCACTTCAGCCAATGATAGTGCACTGCCGAAGAAGCTCCAAAGAGCGAGATATTTCTCTTAACCCTGGGCTATACATATCACGATAACCCATAGAAACGTGCTATCGATGTGTGTAGCCAAGTATCCCCGTATACCTACTACAGATCCGGTGCGTTACGAGTCCTAATAAGAATTGTAATAAATCCACCATCAATGCAATTTTTTTATCTTGCCCGACTTGCGTAACAAAAATGTATAAATGTATATAGATTTGATTAACACTTTCATAACACTATGTTTAAAGTTGATATTGTTAACATATTTTACTACACATAATTGAATATGCAAGTATGTATGTATATATTTTTGTATTATTAATAAATGGATGGATAAACAATTCTAAAGGTAAGCAAACGGTCATTCGCTTTTTGTGCTAAATGTACATAAGGGCTTATGATAATTATCTCTACGTAAAGTCATATCACTTACATTTTTCGTATTTTATTATTGTTCACTTATTTTTGTCGTGCACTAGTGAAAGAGACAGCGCTCTATGAGCTCGTTCTGTAATGTTAAATGTCTCTTTCTAAGTTTCTTTGTAACATTTTTAAGATGTTTCGGATATTATGGCTGCTTATTTACATACCTTTTTTACTTCTCTTGAGTGTTAGGTTTAGTTATTTAAAAAACTCAGTGCTTTTACATTATGTAATAATACTTTTTAAGTTTTGTCGAACATATCACTTAGATTTTTTTATAGGTATGGTAAATTAAACGAATTGGTGAAACCACCCAGCTGTGCAAACAGGTAAATATGGCAATTGAACAAACCTTTTATCATTTACTTATGTTTTATGGTTTATTGTGTTTTATTCTAAACTTAATTATATTGCTGGCCACCCTGTAATTTTAATCGTCATTGCTGACAAAAGTTACACACGCGAATTTTTATGGAAATGTATAAAAGGGTGTACAGCACTCGTGTAGCGTTTATTAGAAAACAAACTGTTATGATTATTGATGATTGTTATGATTATTATGGAAAGTCTACATATTCAAAGATGTCCAAAATATTTAGATCTACCTGAGGTTGAATTGAATCTATTCTCCTATATCGTTTCATAGGACTTTATGTCCAATCTTTCTTGTTCTACATACAACAGAAGAACATAATGTCAGTCATTTTATAAATTGTCCAATTTTATTCTACAGTAATGTAGCAATTGAATCACCGGCCGTTAGTCTGTGAAATCCGTTATCCCAACGATATAATCATGCCAGCAATATTGATTAAGAAACAAAATTTGTGTTATGTAATAAGCCACTTTACTGACAAAAATATTCAGAACATGTAAAAATGTACAGTCCTAAGATTTACATGTATGATATTATTTATATGGAGATATTAAAACTCTTGTTTGCAAAAAGTTATTTTTCTTACTAAGAACCTCCGGGGTTGCAGTAGCTAGATTACAGTCCACTTTCCCTAGGATACCGTCTTCAGTACGCGATGACAGCACAATTATCAATATTTTACAGTTTGGACCACTGAAAACCAAGTTCTCTTTTTCTTCAGTCGACTAAAACAAATGTATTCTACACATTTTTTATGAAATGTTTCATTCGTAATCGTAATACAATAGGCATGCGGCACTTCAATTATGGTAATTTCAAGACGCGTGTGGGTGTTATACTTTTCGACTAAAGAGGGAATAAAAAAGGTCCTAACCACAAAAAAATTATACCTACTGAAATGTATGAAATATGCACATGATCATGATTTTCACACGACAATAAGTGGATGTGTCAGAAGCAGAAAATTCGATTGATTTTACTGTTTGAATTGAATTTGAAACAAATGGTATCGATTTGTTGAACTAATTCGTTTTTGTCAACAGATCTCATATTACACAACTATCCGTATTTCGTAAACAGATTTGTCGACACTAACTAAAACATCGTTTTTCATCCAGCCGTTAAAGTTTATCGCTGGCAGAAATGGCAGACTGTTCTTCAATTTTTCAACAGACGTTTTTTGGGTATTAGGTATTATCGTAAATGAGGCAGTCAAGTTTGCAGGTAAGTACTTATCTAAGTTATTACCTACTTACAAATGTAGATACCCAACTGAAAACAAACCATCCGTGTTCATTCATGAATTTAATTCACCGTACACCGTTATTTAATTATTTTCCGCAATAAATATCTAAGTAAGGTACGGTTAGGTGCGATTTCCTCTACACTTGTAAATAATTTTGCTGTTGATACCGCGGCGTAATTAATTAATTCAAAAGTTGCGACTATGTTCCTGAAAAAGTACCTATCTATACCTCACTTATTTATTATTAAAAAACGGTATTGAATAAATATCAATTTATCAGAAATGTTTCACGGAGTGTCACCTAGCTAGTTGGCAACGGGCCACGAATGGAGAGGTAGGTAACAAAAACTACCGGTGCCAACAAACAAACGCTAGCCTGAAGAAATTCTGAATACTTTATTAATGTAAGTGACTAAAATGTTTCTTTGTTTTTATGTGGTGACATCGACCGTTTCGTGCCTATCGCAACAACGTCATTAGCATTCAGGGTTCAGCGATAACTTGAGCGTGGGCGACATACACAAACGTCCTATTCACCCGTGAATCGTTACCCAATTTGCACTACAGAAACAAAATTGTCATAGAAAAAGTTTTTGTTCAAGCATCTCATGAAAAAAGTTCGTCGCATTTATCGCATCAGTGTAATTGGTGTCCGAGTGGAGTGCTTCAAGTGTAAGCTCGCCTAATATCGCGTTATCTAATGATGATTGGTGTCTAACACAGGCCGGTGCGTCGTTATGTAGGCGGCAGAAGTGGCAACACGTGAATGGACGAGCCAGGGATCGATACAGCGGAGTGCGCAGGCCCGCGCTCTGAGTCCACAGCTGGCGTCCGACGGAATCGCCTCAACCTGAGTTTCAGTGCCTGTTTTGAGGCTTCAAGTGCTCCGGTATACCTCGAATATGGTCTCCGCACAGCGACGGCTCTAAACGGTAAGCGATTCCAAACGCCATATTGTTTTAAAATCATCTTTGTGCTTTTCTGCAAAGTTCGCCATGTCTGTGCCTCTTGAAACCTGTTACACAAACCAAAAATTTTATGTTCGCGTTATGTTTGTAAACTCTACATTTCTTTAATTTATTTTTAAATCCAACTCTTAAATTATCAACCATCTTTATTGTTTGTTGTGTTGCGTGCTTAGTTAGTGGCAGTCGTGTCGTGACATAGGCTAGTTACACCGCATATTAGGTATAGGTACACTTATTTGCTAAGTAGGTACGTAGGTATTGGATATGAATTTAAGTTATAAGGTGTATTTATAGTGGTATCATTGTTAATTCAGGTTTTTCTTTGGGTGGGAATAAAAGTGCGCGGGTCGTTCTGCTTGCGTGGGCGAACGAAAGGGCATGCCTACGTCATAGGGTTCGATATAGCAACCTATAGATATACAGCACGATCGGGTTCGGGACGATCATTAGGTTGGAATCTCGATTGTAATGCAATGATTTCTTGTTCCTGAAAAAGATTTTACGCCACAGGAACCGAAGGAGTCCTGTATTTAAGTAATTAACAGCTTTTGTTGTTTTGGATTCATAGCGTTTCTAGTTCTTACTGCAAGGGTAAGGAGTAAGGAGTGCCATAGAATCGGGAATGGCTTGAACGATGTTATTTATGCCTTTCGAGTTTCTTATTTGACATTCTGTGTAAAAATTTTCTAGGATAATCAGGTAGAAGATTGTTTCACGTTATCCAAGTCTATGACCAAACTGGTAACTATTGTGATACCTACATCTGGAATTTAATAGAGTTAGCACTATAAAAGATAGAGATTAAAACAAATATTAAAAAAAAAAAGATAAGATGATGCGATAATTGAGTGGAGCTTTTGCTTTAATATTTTCTTCAGAGCGAGTTTTGAGTAAAATAGTACTAGGTAGGTATGGTTAGTAAACGGAACCTCTAAATTTGTACAAAATCGTCACAATAAACGAGCTCTACATAATTTCTTCAGATTTTTCATATTGAATTCATAAGCTTTTAATTTGCCTCTCCATAATCACTTAGAGCCACAGTCGCCTACGCATTTTGTAATTAATAACATCACCTTCATGTTCAGAGGGAAAACTTGAAGTAAAAGCCCCCGCGTGGGAGAAAACGGGCGCGAATTCGACCAGTTTACGGAGACCCGTCATAACTTTACCGATATGTTTATTTAGGTATCACTAATCCGAATAATTAGGTCTTTCTTTTATAAATGTACTACATATATTGAACCTGCTGCGCAATATCGTGGGATACTTCGTGATTCAACTAGAAAACTTTGAAATGTTGAAAGTTTCGGATAATGTTTACTGTTGGGAAAGATAACCTTTGAATAACTATAGTTATTAAATTACCTACCTTAATAATTCGCCCGTAGATTTTTATCTAAAAGCAGCCTGGGTGTACCTACACTGATTTTGCTTTCCTTTGGAATTAAATATACAAGCGCTAAAATATTGTACTTACCTATGTGTACAATTTATTGTGTCAATTTATCAGAACTGTGACGTTCATAAATTACTAAAAGGACTCACCTAAACCACTGAAATTACTAAAGTGAACCCGAGGATCGATAAAATGATAGATACAGATAATTTGTTGCAGAGCCGATATTTCTTATTTTGATGGCTTGATACTAAGTATCTGTGCTAAGGCATAGACTATTTTTTTGTAAAAAGAAATACTGAAAAGAGGGACTTGGTTTATGAAAGTCCTATATTTTCATTATGCTTCATTAGTTTCCCGCTGGCCTCCCAAGATCACGTTTTTAATATAAATAATTTGTCTTAGTTCTGCCACAGAATAATAATAAGTACTGGTTCTGCCGTTATTAAAACGTTTTGCATTTCTCTGAAGCATTTCTAATCTACGCGGTCTAGCTTCTAATAACTTATTTATATCATTCAGATTTACCATTTTGTTTTACTTTCATAAGCATATTACATAATAATAATTTTAGGTGCTCAATTAGTACCTATAGAAGAATATTTTATTGTTTTCTCCTTAGGCATAATTAATGTTTATTTTGTTCTCTTGACAAGAACGAAGCAATGTTAAAAGGATTGTGTTAAATTATTTAGCGTCTCTATTCAACCAAGCGGAAATTAGCGGTACGTGCTGTAGACGTCTTCGAATACTAGGTCATTAAGCACATAACTTATCAGCATGTAATCGATCGGTTTTTTTAGCCTAGCTTCGGCTTCATCGTAATAACTTTGATAGGAATCGCGATATAGCTATCGCGAAGTAGCCTACTTTAGGAAGAAATAAAACTTTTTAGTGCCGTGTAACAAATAGGTACATACGATTTTTACGATTACCTATACAAGATAATGCAAGAAAGCTCAGTCAGAAAGGAAACATTATGTTACATGAAAACTATACTGAGGGTCTTTGGGTTTTTTTTATTCACGAGAAGTGCCAAAGGATCCACGAAATCTGACTTACATAATTACAAGTGAAGCGAAGTGCAAAACTACAGTACAAATTAACTACCTACTTACCTAGCTACTTTGCAAAAGAAACCATAAAACGGTGCATCTTTTTCTTTCCGAGAATAACTTATTCAATCTTTACTTTGGCCTCTTCAAAGAAAGCAGAAAAATAAAGAAAGATAAAAGAAAAGAAACTGTAGATGGGCAATTTGGAATGCAAAGAACATTGACCTCGGGGCGAAACCGCCTACGCTTTGAAAACTGCTACGGCATTGTAGTATCTCAACAATTCAGCGAATTTATACTATTTTTAAAGGCTAAAAATATTTTCAGTCGAGATTGATCATCTCACATAGTTACTATAGTGTTTCAGAAACATGTTTTATGAAACTTTTACACATAAGTTTACAATAACAAAACCAGTACCTACCTAAACTTTGCAGAGCCGCTAAGACTGCTTACTGGTAATTGAAAGAAAGAAAGAAAAAATATTAATTTAATTGAACGTTAAAGCACAGAATAATAATAAGTACCTACCTACTGTTAAATTAACACATGAATCAAACAGTTTTCTCAGTCTGAGTTGAAATCATCATGTACGAGTACTGTTTTGGAAAAAACAATCAATTTATGTAGATAACTATGATGCGCCAAAATGTTAGTAAAAAAATATTTACAGAGCGTTAATTGCTTTTACCGCTTAGTTTGTAAAATTCGTTCTGGCACAAATTGATGTAGGTAGTTATTAAATAGAGTGCCTCTTTTAAAACCCGGGATTTTAAAAGCTTTCAATTGGAAACATACAAAAACGGATGAAATAAAACATTGAAAAAGCCCTCGTAACAGCTAAGCTATAGAAAAACAATTTGTCTATCAATTTGCTTCAACTGTAGCGATTAGATAGTAAAATATTCAGTTTTAGACTAGTCTATCTTTAGGATTTTGAATCAGACAATCAATATTCGATTTTTTTGTATAAAATACAAACCTATATGACTCAATTTGATAGTTGGTTAAATATTTTTAACAAATTGAGTCGACTTAGTTGATCTTATATCTATTTAAATGCTTCTTGCGGACTTTATTAGGACGGATATTGCTACGACGCTACGAGAACTACGAGGTCGTAGTTCTTTGCTACGAGATTCGAATTGATATAATCAAGAAATCTATGATGATACTCGTAATTAAACTTTTGATCTTCATGCAATCGAAACCAGGGCGTCAGCTAGTGTAAAATTAGAAACTTCAAACTAACTATGTTAATACCTATTACTAAAAAAATATTCCAATATCTTGAAACCGATTCATTAGAAAATTCAAATAATTTCAATACCTACAAAGTTTTCTACTCGTAGGTATTAGAGGACTTATTATTATTCTGTGGTATTAGTGAGTATTTCTAGTAACTAAGGGATCTCAATGAATTTACATACAGATGAAGAGCTTTTGCCGTATTTGCTCATTCGATGAGGTTCATTTGGGAGCTTTTGTGTTCCAGCAACAAATTGTAGTTTAATTGCGTTCGTAATCACTCCCACACGACTCCATTAATTATTCTAGATATAGAAGACGACAAACAAAGGTTACGTATTAGAGACTTGAAGCTCATGAAACTAGTGTAGATTCATACTTTGATGTCCTTTAATACGAGTTTAATACTCGTAATACCAGAATATAACGACGTTAATTATATTAATACGAATCTGCTCTCAAGAACATAGTGAGGCTTGTGTGTCTAAATATTGCTTGAGGCAAATGCTTTGAATCTACTTTCATGTCTATTTTGGTAGTTATATTGATCTAGTTTCCATAATACAATAAGCTACCTATGAATACTGTACGCACGTTCTCTACCATCGAATACAGTTTTTTTCCATTCATAACAAAGAACCTACCTACATTATACTTCGTCCTTCGACATCACACAATATACTAAGTAGTCACGTCGATATGTATTTGTACGTTGGACGTTCGGACAAAAGATTTCTACTATAAGTAACTGTTAGGTACCTGGTGCTGGAGTTATTTTGGTATTATAGCTATTTTATTTATCGTAAATAGACTACAGAAATATGGGGCAACAAACATTTTACAAGTTCAGAAGCACTATTTTATGTTTAGGTCGGCACGTAACAGAGATGGATCGTTCGGGACACCTCCACATTATTTACTTGCCAAGATGTTCCAGTTTAGATTTAGGTTGTTTATTTCTACAATGTTTGCTACTCCTGGAGTATGTGACGAAAGATTAAATTACCTGAATAGATATTGAAGATTTTAAGATAATAATCAAGTTAAATTTGAAGAACTATGGCCACAGAATGCATTCTCTGAAGTCATATATATGTGGCAAGGGTAAGTTTAGCCAACAAAAATGAACATGAACTCGTACATTTAGTTGTGTATTGTTTGAAAAATAATACAATTTTGGTCGTTTTTGTGTGTAAGAAAAGGTGATAGCTCGGGCTTGACATTTTCATGACACCATTATTCATCATTCTGTCCTATCCGTTGTGTTGTTCTTTTGTTTTGTTTTCATATTATCCCTTAATGGCTAGTGACAACAATGATATCCACGTAAGATAAAGGCGTTCTTGAAAGACAAATGTTTAACTACATATAAGCTATAAAAGCCAGCGTTACGTAAATGTTTTAAAAAGCGGGATTTATTTATGAAAACCCACATGAAAACTTGTTGAAAAGTTTTCATTGTTAGGTGTTTGAGTAAGTTTCGTTTTTCCAGGTCCTCAGTGGAAATGGAATGGAATATTATACTAATATTGTCTTTAAAGATGTCCGTTAGATTTTTTTATGAATTCATATAGTTTAAATTCAAATTATCCATTGCATTGTGCAGAATAAAATTTAGAACTTTGGAGATACGCTCATACGCTTGGGCTTGAAACTTTTATAGAAACGTTCCGTTTTCTTTAAGATATTATACAATATGCTCTAAGTCTAGGCGGAGAGAGCTCGCGTCTTGAAGGCAAGAGTTGTAGGAATACCTAGATGGGAAAATCTACCCTTTAATTAAACAATATTGTTGTCTAACTAATTATTGATAGTGTTCATTTTTGTGTGCAGATGTGATGTGCCGCCTCCGCTGGAGGCCGGCTTTGTGGGCGCTGGCGCTTCTGAGCTCGCTGGCGCCCTCGCACGCCGATGGGAACATAGGTAACTAATTTTTACATTTATTTTTTATTAAAGATAGATTGCAGACCGCATACTTCAAGCCACCGCGGCTTCTTCTTTGAACCTCTGTGAAAGAAATAGTTGGCATTTTGATATTATTTATTACCATTTGTTCCAAATTAATTCCAGTACTAACAATATTCCTTCAATTTTTGTAGCTTTAAAATTCACAAGAAGTAAACCAAAATTGTTGGTATCACTTAGCGTACTTTATCTATTCGGAAATTACTATTTGAAACGTTTTCCCAATTATATGAAGTAGGAACAAACAACTTCACAAGAAATATAAACACAAGTGAGTTTGTTTGGGTTGTTCGAAAGTACCGATTGGAAAAGTTCGAAGGATCATGTTTACAGTTACAGTACAAACACATTAAGCTTCTCGATAATGTTTACCTACTAAATAATGTTTATTTAACATTAAAGGTCATTAGCACTCTTATCAACCCGGAAAGGGACCAACACCGTATCGTCTTTCCAGCGCTGTCAACCGCGAGACAAGGCATTTACGTTACGTTACGTTTAGCGTGCGTTGCAGCATGGATTTTAATACAAAGAATACTGACCGCCTCGGGTTGATCCGTTTTCGGGTTTGTAAGCGTGCTTCGTCCTTAAAACTCTTTTAAAATCGCAAATTTTTCACAGGATGTCTATTCAGCGCCACTCTGTGCGTCGACGGGGTGGAATGGTGCTACGATGGTAGGTACTAGGTTAAGATTAGTTCAATAGCCTGTGAATGTCAATAATAATGTCGATAGAACATTATACTAATACCTACTAAAAAAATTAGATTTCGCCTTCGGGAGGTGCATCCAGATCTACGAGGAGCCGGACGAAGGGGCCCTCTACAAGTAAGTACTCCTGGACTCATAATATATTATGTTATAAATTAATTATTTCATTGGTTTAAAGTATTGCCACAAATTATTAATACAAGGAAAGGCCTAGGTAGCGCCACAGGGAATGCTATTGGGATCACATTCACATAGTTTTTCTCGGGCTAAATATAGAGCAGAATAATTGACATTAAAGAAAAATACTATTAAATGATGTAAAATTGATCCTTGGCAATCTATTATGTATTTGAAAAAATCATTTAAAAATTTAAAAATCAATTTAAAAATTACCCACCTAAATTAAAGTTTCCTTCAATCAATCAGGTATGACATGTCCTCGGGCCAACTGCAGTGGTTCGAGGGCGAGCTACAGCGGCTGGCCTCGCGCGGCTACCGCTGGGAGCATGCGTACACGCAGTGCGTGCTACAGGCCATGCTCTACACGCTACGACAGAACCTGTAAGTGCCTTATTATACACATACTCGTATCACTGCAATGTGTCTGCAAGGGTTCCCACTTTTTTTCATCCCACGGCGCAGTATTTTGTCACGATACGCCCTACCTTTTGAAAAAGATTCAGTCGAAAGAAATAGGCACCTATAATGATAGTTGATAGTAGTTAGGTAGATAGGAACAAAAATTAAAACATCTAGCTACAATATGAAATTTCTACGGCGCACCGCGGCGCACACTTTAGGAACCCCTGGTGTACAGCAGACGTAACTACGGTGCTACGAGAATGTAACTACGGTGCTACGAGAATATTACTACGGACAGGAATAACGTAGTATTTACATAGTGCGCGCTACGAGCTCTACTCACTACGGCAGTACCAAAACGATCGAGTGTTTTGACGTTTATGAAACGCTACGTTATGTAGCAGTGCTACAGGTCACGATGAGAACGTGTAATAGGTGCCGTACCAGCACTGATGCAAGGATGACGAGCCATGATGAGAATAAATAGTGCAACTTCGTAACACGCTACGGTTATGAAAACAAATGTACGAGTACATACGAGTATACCTAATAATACCTATTTTAAGTGATACCTACCTAATTCCATGTAAAGTTTCACTTCCAAAACGTGGGTGTAGTATTCGGTCTAGGTGAATTTAACGCCTTGTTTAATAAACAAGGTCTATGAGGCATTATAAATCGCCCACTCATTGACTTTTACGAACTCTACTACTTTTATAAGTTGTTTAATTACTAAGTAAATCTGAATGAATTACGTTTCTTTACAAACATCAACTAAATGCGTAAGTCACATTAGTAGCTACGCTATTTTGATTTATAGTTAGCAAACTTAGGGTAGACCGGGGACAATAGTACCATTTTTTGGAAATTGTTCAATATTGAGAAATCTAATGAAATATAACTTATTCTGTTAGTATGCTGTAAAAACTAGACTCCTAAGCTACAAATTTAAGCATGCAGAGTTGAACTATTCTTTCGAATACTTAATGAAAAACGAGTTTGAACTGTACGATGTCTCATGTTACAATTGACCCCTACAACGGGTCAATTGTACCAATAATATATGAGGCTATAAAAGTCGTTATGTTTATCTAATCATCACCTTTATTGGTATTCTGTACTCTTAATCTCCTACAATCATCATTCTTTATTAATTGAGATCGAAAATATTTAGGAACAAGTATGAAAAATCAACACTAAAGTTTAAAAACAAAACAAGAACTTTTCTTCCATAAAAACGAAAAAGCTAACTGTTTCTACATAATATGTCATTTATTTGGCTCGGATATTGCTCCTGAAACAACAATAAGCATAATAACAATGATAGAATACTCAAAACTTAAAAATCTATTTTTGTATGAGGGTACAATTGACCCCTGGTACAATTGACCCTGATTTATTTATACCTACTAATGCTTCGCCCTTTTAAAAAATTTTCATAAGCCTGTTCATAAAGGAATAGATCCGTTGATCCGTGATCAGTACTTTTGACTCTACGTCGAGGCATCTAAAACAAAACGTTCAAATACTTAGTTACTTACTGAATTAAGCTAAAATGTACATATTCAGAAGGGTTTTAGAAACCTATATTAAAATATTTTAAGTAGAACCCTAAGGAGAGGCCGACTTTCGCCGGCATCATGCGGTATATGGACACGAATAAGTCTGAGACGGCCATTGCTGCTCTTAGGTGAGTACAGACAACAGCACTATTGTGCTTTGTGTAGATCTTATTAGATCTGCACGCTTAGGGTGTNCAAATAGCATATAAGGCAACTTATGGGCTCATATATTTGACATAAAAACTTACTGCGGCTGGGCAAAAAACAAAAATCCTTCCTGTACACCTTCGTTTTTCAGCGCAAGCGCCGCCGACTGGTGAGCGGATGGAAACACAAAAAGCGCATATTCTGACGCTATGCACACAATCTAACGTCGCTTGTATGAAGAAATATCGCCGATGGTACTATTGACCCGTGGTACTATTGTACCCGGTCTACCCTACCTAAAGTTCTAAGTTCGTTCAAAGTGAAACATGCAGAATAAAATATGCTCGCTCAACACGTCTACACATTTTTTTCGTTTATGTGTTACTCCCACACAAACTCTCGTCCACCTACCTATTTCTATTAATACTACCACTGACCTTTTGCAGGGTATGCAAATATGCCTCTAATTGATAACTTTAGACTTTCAATATCGTCGTGAAATTTCAGGGATCCATCCATAGTGAACACCAAGATATGTGAACACTTTGTTGATCCAAAACTAAGCTCTGAAAACATTGGAGACGGAGAGGACGATACAGAAGTAAGTCACGTTTAAATCATTAGGAAGACAATTTATCTACGCTGTTTTTGTAATTTCCGAATTATATTTTAGGTTGAGCCTGATGAGACAGCCTTTGTGCGTTTTACGCCGAATTCGCAAATTGCCGATTCTGATTACGCAAACGAAGTATACAACCCCCCATTGACCCCCGATGAAGACCCGATAGCATATCTTATGGCTAAAGGTAATACAGTCTCTTGTATTAAGTATTGATTAAACTGTGGGAGTCTAAAGATAATATTGTGATTACAGAAAATGAAGATGAACTCAATAATGACGAAAATCCAAGTGATAAATTACGTGACTTGATGATGATGAGCACACAAGAAGAGGAGTCCCCTGTCATACTGCCTTTTGAAGGATTTAGGGAAAGGATACAAGCTGAGAAGGCAAAGGCCCATGATAGTGACAACACGGTCCCTAATGTAATGATAGACAAAGATAAGAAATCCCTTCCGAAAGCGGAGAAAGATAACGAAGTCGCATCCTTCTCAGACGAAGAACGTCTGGGTGCTCATTTCAGGAAAATTAAAACTAAGCCTCCGCCGTACACAGCGGAATATATTACCGGAAATAGATTCTCACCTTTAGATGCTGAAATCCGTTCGAACGCTTTAGAAAAATACAAGCAAAGCTTTGCTGAGAAAAACTTCCCTTTTGAATATGAAGCAGTGGAAATGCCGGAACAGAGAATTTATAATGACGAAGACGGCTTGGACGAAATTCCATTTGATGCTGGAAGTGGCGAACTAGATCCCTACCATTCAAAAGGTACCTTGAGTTTAATTTGATGGTTTGACAAGAAATAAAACTTTATAAATACCTACTCATTAATTTCTTGAACTTTTTCAGATGGCCCTATAGGTCTGGATGGGAAACCTTCTAAAAATATGGAGTACTTAATGAATTACTGGCGAGAAATCATAAATTCTAAATTGAAACCACAAGGCGCCTTATACGCAGAAGGTGGCCCCTTGAAAGCTGATGACGTGCAGGGTGAGTTCTGTTTACCAAAAATGAGAGCCATAAAATATCATGTAAAGAAAATAATTTATGTTGCTTTATTGTTTTATTTGCAGTGTAGGTTATTCGACGCAGCAGCATTGTCTCACTCATTATTTTAAATACCAAACATGATTGTTCTTCTTTGTTTATTATGTTAATCGATTTTATTTTCTTTTCTGACTGATCTCTGTCACATAGGCCCCCTAAACCCGAATGGCTCGGCCCCGACACCCACACACCGGCTCGATGGTGTTACAGATACCGACCATGTTTCAGGTGATACTCCCAAATTTTATTCTGAAGAAATTCAAGATTTCTTTAATAACGAATGGGGATTTAAACGTAGGGAAAGAGACGATGTTAAAAAGCCCGGGCCTCGCCTGGACGCGAAAACGTTAAAGATTTTATACCACAATAAATCAGTGACAGGTTAGTGTCACGATAGCCTGAGATAGTTTGTTTTAGAATATTGTCAATGTACCCTCCAGACAAACAATATTATGTTCCAACGGAATATAAAATGCCCTTCCTAAAATTTCGATGCACTCTACATTTGTCTAGAATATTGCACTAAATGTTTCCCTATGTGAGCACATCTTATTTTCTTTGTCACATTCAGCATGTATTTTATGGTTATTTATTTATTTTCGGTCTTCCTTTTTAAGTGTTGTCTATTACCTACTTATCTACACTTATTTATTTTAATTTATGGGATGGGTGATATATTTTTGTTATTGTCGTGATCATTTTTCTTACATTATTCATGTCGTTCATGTTTCTATTTTTATAAATGTTAGATGCCTGTCTGTAATACACGCTTCTTGTATAAAATATGACCTCTACTTTTCTCTATTTATTCTACACCCCTATAAATATTAATTTCTAATAATACCTAGTTCTGTGTGTACTTACTACTTATCTAATAATTATTATATTCATATCTATTTTATTAACATGATCTGCAAAGTTTTCATTTTGAAAGGCAATTATTGCATTAGGTATAAGTACCTACTGTAATTCTCAAAACCATGAGGAAATGATGTAAACCTTGCCAAGCTTTGTTTTTATAATGTGCATGTTCCCAGTTTTGTATAAATGTTGTGATCAGCAAATTCTTGTAGAATGTTATGATTGATTCCATGGAGAATTATTCTCTTTCCAGCTCACGGGCCGGCTGATGCTCAGAAATCACCACATGGGCATGATCATGACCACAATGATTACGATTATGATCCTTCTTACGCATACGTCTTGTTCCAAGACAGGTAAAGCTCTACTAAATTCTCACATTCAATAAATAAATAAGTCCCGAGTTTAAATTTTGTTTTGTTTTTGCTTCAGATTCCTAACTGATTGGGAGAAAGGCATTTCATTCATATCAAGGCTTGAAGAAATGCTCGGATTGGAAAAAAATACTTTTACCAACCCTCGGTAAGTTGAAATTGCTTGTGAATTATTATGTAGTTATTTCACGAAAGATGGAAACAGGAATTGAAGATTTTCTTTTACTTTGCTTACAGGGTTGACAGAGGTGAAGTTACTTTCAAAGTAGAAAAGAACAACAAAGGTTATAACGCCGTGGATGTCGCTCGACGTGTTGGTAAGAAATTTTTCTAAATTAAGAATCAGAATTAGATAAATAATGCTAAAATCTAATTAATCTTTTATTTTTAGATGATATCAAAGAAGACCTGCGTCGAGAAACTGGCGCTCAAGTTTTGTCAACTGGCGTTGGTGATCGGGTAAGTTTGTATTGAAATGTTTAACTAGGTAGCCAAAGAACAAATTGAAACTGAAAAATCACCTAACATAATCTAAAAATCAGTCCATTTCACAGAGCAAGCGTCCCGTGATCCGCCATATTGAGTCTCCGGAGACCTTGTTCTTTGGTCTGGAGTTGCCAGTACTCCTGGCTTTGGTGGGCAGCCTGGCGGTTTTGATAGTAGGGGCGGTCATCTTTGCCGTCCTTCTAAAACGAGACTTCAACTCTAAGAGGAAGATGCAAGGTCTGTCTTCCGCAGCAGAAATTGATGCTGAGGCTAAAATGGACTACCAGGTAACAATAGAGGTATATAAATTATGAACGACTACTAACTAACTAAAGCAAGCTACTAGTCTTCATTTTTTACGTACTTACTCATTTTACTTATTTAAATTGTTCTGCATAGAGATCACTTATTATTTTACTAATAATACTTATTTATGATACTAGTAATTAAATAATTATGTTATGCCTACTTAATAGGTGGTTTTGTATTTTGTGCGCTAAGAATAACATATTAGGCTTTATTAATTAGCATAATAGGTGCTAATTACTAAAATCAATAATGTCACAAAGATACGAAAGAGTCCAATAACTATAGTGTTTTTACTCGAGAAATACACACAATCACAGCGGCTTTATTTCACTTTATTATTCAATCACAATATTATAGTAAATCAATCTAGTGCGAGCTTACTTTAGTCCGTAGTAATAGCACTATTTAGGTACTATAAGTTGAACCAGTGATCAACATTAGCTGATCGTTGCAGGAGCTGTGCCGTGCCCGTATGTCGGGCAAGTGGACTGGCCAGCAGGCGACGGCAGCGGCGCCGCACCCGACCGAACCGCCACAGCGTATCACCTCGCTGTCTCGCGAACCAGACGCGAACTCGCCCTCGACCAGGTCCAGTACTTCATCCTGGTGAGCGAGTTCTTTTGTTTTTCTTCTGTGATGTCAATATTACGCGTGTACGAAGACTGGCCAGCAAGTGATTATAGCGGAGATGTCTGTCTATCGCGTGACCCCGGTTCTAACTCGCCCTCAAAGGACCCGAACTTCATCTTGATGTGCGACTTTATATTGTCCTTTAGTTCGTCCTTACTCAGTAGTTTCCATGCTGTATAATATACTAACAGAGTGAACCGAGGATCTTAGCATTTATTTTTCTTTAAAAGATAATATTTATCGAAAAATAAATTATTTGCAGGAGTGAAGAACCAGCTCTGACTAACATGGATATTTCCACTGGACACATGGTTTTGGTAAGTTTCTTATTCATCCTATTGTAATGGAGACTGTATTGTCCTCTCCATGATCTTTTTGATATTATGTACAGTTCTAAAGATCTTGATTATTATGACGTCTTGTGCTAGGCCTACATGGAAGACCACCTCCGCAACAAAGATCGCCTGGAGCAGGAGTGGCGTGCGCTTTGTGCTTATGAAGCGGAGCCCTGCGCCACCGTCGCTGCCCTCAAGCAAGACAACACCGGCAAGAACCGATATGCTGATGTCCTGCCGTATGACCACTCGCGGGTCACCCTCAACACCCTGTCCAACCATCTCGGATCTGACTACATCAATGCTTCGACTATTGTAAGTTGCTAAATGTGCAGTTTCGTTTGATAATGTAACACTACAATTTTCGAACTTTATAATTTTTGTATCTCTTAGAATAAGAAGATAATATAGTGGCTGTGCCATGATAGTGCCTATCTATTACTGACTGAATGGCCAATGTAACCACGTAGGTAAGGCTTTGAGCATTAAGTCCAACTGTTTTAGGTTTACACTAATATTTCGTGCAATAAAGAAGCAAAAATATATTAAGTAAAAATAATTAATTCATTACGGGACTATTCCCACATCTCGTTCCTACCGCTCCAACTCCTGTGTAGCCAGGATCTACAGCTTGACCGCCAATAATAATCCAGCCCGTGAAGGTCAAGTTTGTCCCGCGGGGGACTGTCATTGGACCCGCCATTTCCCGCAACGAAATTAATCAGAATAACGTAGGAGGAGTTAGAGGTTAAGGTTCGACTTCCCTCCAAATCAGTTAGTAAATTTTATATTAAAAAAAGTATTTCTAAAATGCCTACAAATTACTGTTAAACATTGTCCTTGCTGCAGACGGATCACGACCCCCGCAACCCGGCATACATCGCCGCCGCCGGTCCGCTGGCACACACGGCGCCCGACTTCTGGCAGATGGTGTGGGAGCAGGGCAGCGTCGTCATGGTGATGCTGACGCGCCTCACTGAGAACGGACAGCAGCTCTGCCACCGGTACTGGCCGGAGGAAGGCTCGGAACTGTACCACATCTATGAGGTAAGACGCATTTGTGATCCAGCTGTGAGAGAGAGCATTATATGTAGATAACCACATGAGAATTCCATCTTATATATTCCTTATTTTTTTCCTAATTTGGTTAAAATCTTGGAAAAGTGAGTATGATGACTAGTTTTTTCTTTTTTTTTCTTGGCTTTCGTGATAACTAGTTACATACAGAACATTTCTTGTCTATGAATAACATTTTAGACCAACAAACTTAGATAGGTAATTTTTTTTCTTCCAAAAATGAAAAAGATTCTGGGAAAAAGTAGGTATACAGTGACACTGAACTGTGTTATTGTTTAAACGTATTTACTAATATTTTTACCATTTTCTACCACCAGGTCCACCTAGTGAGCGAGCACATCTGGTGCGACGACTACCTGGTCCGCAGCTTCTACCTGAAGAACCAACGCACGGGCGAGACGCGCACCGTCACGCAGTTCCACTTCCTCTCCTGGCCCGAGAATGGAGTGCCATCTTCGACGAAGGCTTTGCTCGAATTTAGAAGGTAAAGAAACCACTTTGAATACTTTTCTTGCCTAAAATCGTTTGCGCTTGACTTTTAAATTATGCTCAGTGATAAAATTATAATGGATGTTAATTGCTGAAAATATTTTTTTACAGGAAAGTGAACAAATCTTACCGAGGACGATCCTGCCCGATTGTGGTGCATTGCAGGCAAGTTCTTTGTTTCTTGTTTTTGTGAGGTTCTCAATGTGTTAAGTATTATTTATTTTCATAAATATAAAGTTTAATCTGCTACAATCTGCTACATGATTCAACTGATTGATAAATGCAACTGAAATTGTTATCCGGGGACTAAAACTAATAAATCTTTGAGAATTTGGATACCTGAAGTAATCGCATATTACTTAAGTAAAGTGCAATAAGAAATGGTACATAGTAATTACTGATTAATACTTACTCGTAATAATGGACAATGTTTTTAGAAACAAAGCAATGACAACTCATTAATGCTTATCAAGTACGTGACAATGCTTAGGTAGGTTACTGATTATCGTTCCAACTTCCCATACATAATATCTATGCTAAATGCTATTAGAAATCTTGTCTGATCTCAACATCATATGACAGATAAGATATTCGAGACTATGACGTAACATCGCACTATCAGTCCTATCAGATTGGTATCAAACTACTTCGAATTCAAGAAAAAAAATCCCAGCCTTGTTCATATCCTGATGTCTGAACCGATAATAAAGCCTCGGGTATATGTAATAAGAGACAAAATGTTGCAATGAGTGTCACTTCATTCATCGAAACTGCACGAAGACACGCTACAATATTGTTTCTCGGACATTGTCACGTAGAGCAATACATGTACAACAGCATAAATAAATAAAGTTTACTTGTCGCTCCATTCTAGTGTATTCAGTTTTCTAATTTGGGGAAAATTAGGCTGGATAATCTTGATTTTCAGGATAAGGATATCGAAAAACATAAAGTAGAGCAGATTCTAATACAAGACGAATACTTATACAGGGTGTTTCTTGTAAGGTGTCAAGCCGAAGGCAGGTGATAGGTGAGGACTAGACCTATCGATTTTACCCCCATGTATGTTTTACGATTTTTCATAGTTTAGAAGTTATCGTTAATTTTGTGATTTTTTCAAATTGTATGACCTAGTAGGCTTTAAATTTTTTTTTCTTTTTTTTGGGTCGATTTTTCTCAGTTTTCTTTTTTTTTGACAGATTCCCTATTAATTGCAGATTTTTGAAAAAAAAAATCAACTTCCTATCTTTGATGCAAGATACAAAATTTTTGCTAGAAACATAAAAAATATGCTTTTAGCGGAACATTCTAAAATTTTCAACTTAAAAGTGTGTGTGCGTGTGTCTGTGTGTCTGTGAGAGAGAGAGAGAGATAGAGCAAAAAAGGGTGTAATGATTTAATTTAAAGTAAATGTTCAAAATGTCCGTCGCTGACCTGAATGCACATTCGACAACGACGCAAAACAATTATTCGTAAATTTACAAAAGCTTCTTGCATTCTAATATGGTTTATCATCAAAATTTTCATATTCCCTTTTGTATACCACATGAAGAGCAAGAGCTTCCACGTTGTGGATAAAAAAAATCTTTTCAGTTATTGTCTCTAAATGTGTTCTACATATCGTAAACTTAGGGGATTGCAAATATTACTTAGTCCTAAGAAAGTCAAAAACATGTAACGGAATCTCCGACTTACCACTTTAGTGGAGCGATTACAGAAAATAATGGCCTATTAAGTACATGTTTTTTTGTGTTATTATGAAAGTTCAGAAAATTGCGCAGTTTTTAAAATTATTTTGGACCTATGGAAATTCTTTTTTTTTCTCATACATTTCAATTGAAAATTTTAGAATGTTCTGCTAAAAGCATATTTTTTATGTTTCTAGCAAAAATTTTGTATCTTGCATCAAAGATAGGAAGGTGATTATTTTTTTCAAATATCTGCAACTAATAGGGAATCTGTCAAAAAAAAGAAATCTGAGAAAAGTCAACCAAAAAAAAAGATAAAAAAAAAATTAAGCCACTAGGTCATGAAATCTGAAAAAATCACAGAATTAACGATAACTTCTAAACTACGAAAAATCGTAGAACATACATGGGGGTGAAATCGATAGGTCTAGTCCTCACCTATCACCTGCCTTCGGCTTGACACCTTACAAGAAACACCCTGTATACGGACGTCGGCCATACATTACTAATATTGTGATATTCCTACTCGTATGATCTAAGAAAGAAATTTCTTGCAAAATTCACTTTTAATCTTTATTAATAAATTAAAATTTTAGTGACGGAGCTGGGCGAACGGGGACCTATTGCTTGATCGACATGGTACTGAACCGGATGGCGAAGGGCGCGAAGGAGATCGACATAGCCGCCACCTTAGAGCACATAAGGGACCAGCGCCCGCGCACCGTGGCCACCAAGCAGCAGTTCGAGTTCGTTCTCATGGCTGTTGCTGAAGAGGTAAGTTTGTACTTTAAGGTCTATTTGTCTCTTAGCCGAGAGTGAGAAAAAAAACTTCTCGAATGAAGATCGCGATCTCGTCAGACGTATCGTGAGATGTCCACCTGCTCCTTGGATGGACGACCTCAAGAAGAAAGCTGGCAACGGCTGAATGAAAACATACCACTCCTTTACGTCGCGCAGTCGGGTAAAAAGAGGGAATTTTTGGTGTTCTTTAGGAAGCTACCATTCAGCAGTGGACTGCGAAAAGCTAAAACGATGATGATGATGATGTTAACCAAAGGACATATTTTTCTTACCACCCTGAATAAGCTTTATACGTTAAGTTTATACATTGTGTAAATTCAAAATACATTTTCTTGATTTAGGTGCACGCCATACTGAAAGCTCTGCCGGCCCACCTGCAACAACTTCAGGAGAAGAAAGAAAAAGAAAAGGAAAAGGAAAAAGAAACCAACGACAAGGAAAAACCAAACAATTGAAACACGCGCTAATGACATGACTTTATTTTACTATAGCTACGTATTGATGTCTGTTTCTTGATCTAGACTGAAAATTTCGCTCTTAAAATATCACAATTTATTTATTTTAATATACATATTGTTAATTATTATCAACCAACTGAATATATTTATACTTACTGCTAGTCTTATTCGAAATTTTCAATCTAGAGTATTTGTATTGTACGTATTTACGCTTTTGTGCGCTTAATGCTAAACGCTTTTTTTATTTATTTCGTGTATATTAAACACTTGTTTGTAATATTTTCTGTAATGTAAAGTTTATGGTAGTACTTGGTGTGATGTTTTGAAGGAAAGCAATTATGGTCGCGTGGCCTAAGCTGTTTTTGTCTTTATCTACTTCTTTCCATAAAATGAAATGGCACAAAAGCCTTAAAATGTTTAGTCCACTGGGTTATTTCAAGTTTAATTCAAATATCAATTCTCAAGTTACAAAAAGATAACATAGAGGCCCAAAACACACGCCACGATAATGGTGTCAAATATCTAGGAAATATTTATTTTTCTAAGAAAGCTTTTCTATCAGCAGATATTTTATATATTTTCATAAAAACATAAACACAAAGCTATTTATTCAATAAACTACACAAATTGTTACTAATTACGAGTATCTATACATTTTACGCCAAAATATACAGGGAGTTATTTTATTCATTCAAATTGTTTAAAAATTAATAAATAAATAAGAAATTAGATAGAATTCAGGACATTAGAGTTGCTTGTTTTGTATGTTAGTGGTTTGAGCATTTTGAATGAAAAAAAAACTCGCTGTATATTTTACGTTGCCTGGCTTCTTTGCTGTCGTATCATAGTCAATTGTAAAGGTGTCTAAAAGTTTTATTATCTATTGCTATTATTTTAGTCCGAGTTTTAATTTTACGCTAGAATTCCGGTACAGTCAAGTGCACATTACAAGTAACAAATCTAACTTGAAACATTTTAAACTAAGTTGTTAGTGCAGCCGTCAGCACATCATTTTTCGTTTTTGTCGCAAAATAGTATCTATTACAAGTACATAAAATGCCACAGGTTTAAAAGCTGGGTGTGCCGGCGTCTGTACTAAAGTCTATAGTTAGTTACCTAGTTGATGCAAACTTCAATTATTTGTTAATTAAAGACCTGCCTCTTTTAAAAAATATATGGCATGTTTGAAGGATTGTTGCTGCGCATCAGATGCGCATAGCTGTGAATTGATCTAGTCGGTAAAATGTTAAAGTGCTGTTATTTGTTAAATCATAATTTTATTTCGCTTTCTAGTAAATGTTCACAAATTATTTTGTACACAAATGTACGTGCTACCTTAGCGATCATGTTATTTACCTATAGTTATACAGTTTTGTTAATATTAACTAAATTGTAATAGAAATATGATGAACAAAACTAAGATAAGACATGATAATATCGCCGCCGAATCATATCCTGAACGAACGGAATACCTGATAAATATAATCACGAGGACAAAATAACTATTTACAAATAATAAACAATAGAAATCGTTAGTAACACGTACTATGTATGAGATTTGTATAAGATTATATTTATTGCATATTATGGGAAAATGTAAAAAAAAATACCCACGAAATTATGAATGTAGAATAGATTTAAGAGAAAATATATTTAACCGTATTTCTGTATGAAATTATATGTAGTTTTTATGTGAATGATTGAATAATGGATTTTGATTATTAAATTGTTTTAGGGATAAGACGAACGGTATCCTGATTTCCTTAGAATATCCTATCCTTATATCGTTCAGTCCTACTCACCTCCAGAGACCGATTTAAGATGATAATAAACATCCTGAATAATTAAAGGATTAACCTAAAGTGGGCTCCAGATAGGTACTTTATCACCAGTGGCTAGACATTCAGCTAGAGAAGCGGTCGCTCAAGGCACCAGGCGGCATAATACCGAAAGCTGTTATCGCCATCTCTTGGAACCCCAAACAATCTGATGTGACATTTTGGGCTGAAAGGAATGCAATCGATCTACGACTATTTAGAGACTATGTCAACAGTATGGTCGTATTCGTTATCGTCATAGCTGGGCACCGGTAATCAAATAGTTAACTTCGTTAATCGTTGATAAAAAAATTAACTTCGTTAAACGCTAAAACGTTACATTTAGCAAGATTTAACGCAAGTTAACGTTAATCGTTAATCCGTTAACACATTATAATAAAACGAAAAAAATAATTGTAAGCAAGGTTCAAATAATTTCGAAAGCTTGTATCGCGCATGGAATTTATTCCTCTTTTTAGCCAGACAGTTTTGACAGTTCCAACTCCTTGCCAGACAGTTTTTTTAGGATAGCTGCCAAAGCCACGATGACCCAAACTTCATAATCCACCAACATTCTAACCTATATTTATTGGGAGCATACTCTGACAAACTTTCAACTTTTATAAAATGACGTTGATATGGCGTTCACCAGCTCTTAGTCTATAGTATCTCAATCTCAGAGCCTTGGTTCAATTACCTACAATACAATTTAGCACCAATGTGCTCGAAAAGACAAATCCAACTAACCCAAATTCGATGCGATTCCGCCGTTTCATTTCTTAGGAGTTCCTATGGCCGCCTCCTGACTCCATCATTAGACCAGCTCAATGGTACCACAACATTGATACTTTAATTTGTAATCTGCCTGTTTTGTTATTCTTTAGCATCAAAGTATGCATATGTTACATCTCATATTATGTATAATGTATACAGGGTGTTAGGTAAATGGGTATATGAGCCGACACTAGCCCATGTTAACATGTTCATATAAATGGTATGGTGAAGTCAGAAAATTGATATCTTCATTTTAATTATTTTATTTTTCATACAAATCGTATTTCATAAAATTTATTTTGTATGAAAATTAAAAAAAATAAAATGACGATATCAAATTTCTGACTTCACCATACCATTTATATGCCCATGTTAACATGGGCTAGTGTCGGCTCATATACCCATTTACCTAACACCCTGTATAGCCACCTACTCTGTTGCACTAAGACCTAGGTCACTAAGTCTTAAGCCCATGTGTATGTAATTTCCACCATTACAATAATTGTCACTTAGTACGCAATAAAGATTTGAATTGAATTTGAAAGTATACCAAATTGCAGCTCAATCGGTTGAGGTGAACTGGTCTAAAAAATTCAGTTGCAAGATTTGTCCCACACATACTAACAAGTGAAGTCAATACAGTCAGGGTGGAATTTTTTAATGTCACCTGGAGGGAAAGTACTCTTAATATTGTAGATATAGAAAAAAAGTCTCAAAGAAAACATTCCTGTATTATTGAAAAGAAAGAGAACTGCATTCGTAGATTTGTGTAGTGGCAAATATTTTTTGGAAATCTTTGAATGCAGTTCTTCAAAGATTTCCAAAAAAATATTTGCCACACCCGGGAATTGAACCAACTAAAATCTGTTAAAAATTACACCCTGTATTTTTATTGCATCGATCGTTAGGGTCAAGTATGGATGAAATCTCTCTAACAAACCTGATAAATCAAATGAAAGGAAATCCATAAAATCTTAAATTATTTTATTGTAGCGAATTTTTGAAAAAAATTTGAAAATCTATGAATGCAGTTCTCTTTCTTTTCAAAAACACAGGAATGTTTTCTTTCAGTAAAATTTTCTATTTGTTAATTTGAAATGTTAACTTCGTTAATTAACGATTAACGGATTAACGAGTTAATGCCCAGCTATGGTTATCGTTACTTACCTGATGTTTTTTGCAAAAAGAGTGCTGATGGTAACAAGCTATGTGACTCGTGGCTAGGAAACGAACGCTGTCGATGTCAGGTTCGATTTCTGATTTTCTTGAAAATACATACCTGAAACTTGGTGAAAAAATGACAGTTACCTACCTAATTACTTAATTTAATAAGGTTTTTATTAACACAACAGGTGACGATCAGTTATGAGACAGTAAGTATAAGTACAATTTTAATACAAGGATATTAATAGATGTACTATCGACAACAGTGTTAACTGCTTATTGCCGGTCATGTCGTCTCGTTCTATCGCAAAGGAATCACCATTTGATGAGAGCGAGAGCAAAAACGGAAATGATAGTTAACACTGTGGCCGTGTGTACATAGATTGCATGCAACCTAAAATCATGTTTATCAATGAGCAAGAACAGACAGTTGACAAACAAAAATAACAATGAAGCTAGTCATTACTTTGATGCTTATCTAATAACTTTGATCTCAATTTACTAAGGTATTGTAGTTATTACCTTGAGGAGATAATATGTCCAGCTGTAAGATGCGTGATCATAGCTTTATTTGTTTATAGAATAGATGGATTGCATCATAAAATTATTTAGTATTTGGGTAATATAGTATTTTTTTTATGGCTCCCTACTTTACGTAAAAAGGATCCTGTAACAAGAATTAAATACTTACTTACTGGCAGAGTAGGTAAGTAAAGAGTGAATTGATAGTTATTAATGTACGTTTGCTGATAGACATAAATAACATAATATTAATCCAATAAACACAAAACAAAACATAAAAATTGAAACCAAGCTGCTAACAAATGAACTCTAACTTCCCGCCAACCGCCAAGAACCGCCTTTTTTTCTTCCCGCGCCTTTTAGTGGTGTGCACTTCCAAATTATTTAAACTCAATATTCAAATACTTTTATTTTATCCTATCGATTAAATCAAATGGTAAAAAAACGAAACTACAACAATAGTTTAGCATCAAAACGAAATACTTGTATTAACAATTTAATTGAAACGTAAGTAACGTAATCGTATGTACGTGAAACGTAACGCAAGTTACGAAGTAATCTAGTTAGGTTTTACATCTGTTGTTACATTACAATAATAAAGTCATAATTTGCAGAGAAATAGGGTCATTTCGCCTGTTCGCGTCCATTTAGTGCAGTTGGCAAGTTTGACGGCGATAATAAAAATGCCCCAGCACTCATTTGTATGACAAATTTGTGTAATGTATTCATAATATATTCTATTTTAAGATTAACTTTCAGTTGTATTAGAAACATCTTGCGTTTTCTTTTTAAATAGATAAACTTCAGAATTAGGCGTTATACCCAGTTTGCGTCCACAAAATCCAAATTGCGTCCACCCGTGGACCATTTAGCGTCCAGCAGCTTAGAAAAGGAATATAGGGGTGATATTTTTAAGAATTAATAAAGAAAGATTGTATTTGAACAATTTCTTTATTTAACAATAAACTTAGTTATTAAAAATCAACATTATCATCATTTAAAACTCACTTTAAAAAGTAAAAATAATTTTTCTCAACATTGGTTTAAGTAAAAAATTCTTTATTTCTGGCCAAACATTTTTCAAACAATTTTTGACCTGGACGATCATCTTTGAAATTATTTTTAAACTCTCCGTCTCGAGTCAATTCTTGCGTTTTACTGGAAATCCACATTTAGAAATGTTAAGAAGCCATTCAACTACTTTTGTATTATNATAGTTTGCGTCCATTGTGGACGCAAAGTGGAAGTTTTGTAAAATCGATGTAGTAATTCGCGTCCACCTTATTTTATTCGTTAAATATAAAAAACAATACCAAATTCATAATAAACATTATACCTTTTTTCATCATTAAACTGTAGAAATAGATATCTATCCTAAAATTCACATTATAAAACTTACCATCAAACACGCCGCTGCACACTAATTTTTATCTAAACATGCAGCGCGTGTGAGCATCCTTGTTGAACAGCCGAGACTAACTATTTTTCTAAACAGGAATGGTTGGACGCACAGGACTTTTGTCTATGTGTGCGTGCCTCTTATACATTTACGTATTAGCGGTAATGACTTTTCGTTTGATTGGTGTGTTAGTTGACTTGTTTTCGAGGATTTTTAAAAGGAGATCGGCAAAATGGACGCGAATTGGGCGATGGACGCGAACAGGCGAAATGACCCTACTACCTCCCAAGACTGACTATTAGTCTTACTTCGGTGAGTCACTAGCACTGATGATTTCAATTGAGACCATAATCGATTCTAAGTAACTTGTAAAGTACATCACTCTTTGTCTTATCAAGTGTCAATTTGACGTTGATGAATGACTGACTGGCATTGACATTGACAGTTCTTTTTTACGCGTCGGTGGGTGCAGTTGTATCATCGTACTTTTTCCTTTTTTAACAATCCTCCTAATAATAACGTTTGTAATTTAAATTAACTTGTAATCTCATTACTTTTATATAAATTTTAATTTCAATATGTCTATTACCGGCCGTGCACTGCATTTTGTGTTCAAAGTTGCGGATAGAACACTCACCGCAAAATTCTACCGAGATGTCCTGGGAATGAAGGTAAATAACTTAAACTTTATCTAGAATGATCGAATAATTTTAAAAAGGACCCATAGGCTTTAATTAACTGTTCAAAATAAGTAGTTGTTCAAACTAGTTCCCTTAAAAATTAAACCAAGGTCATCATTCGAGTTTTTTACAGTACTCAGTCAGGATTGCCGGTAAATTATGTGTAGCTAATTGCAATATAGGTACCTACATAGTGTATTTTGTTCGTTCTCATGTGGTTCTGTGACAAATTAAGCAATTGAATTACTTTAAGTCTATTCTTTTCTTTTTCCAATAAGAAACTATATTTTCAATGTGACTGTAGCCACCTAACTGATTAATATTACTTACAGTAAAATAATATATGGTTTGTTCGTATCTATTTCCTGTTTCAATATTAACCAAGATGATTTGTTCATTATTAGGTTTTGCGTCATGAAGAATTCAGTGAAGGCTGTGAAGCAGCTTGCAATGGGTGAGATTAGATTGTTATTTTTGTATGAAAAATATTTAACACATGACTATGGGAATGATTCATTGGCTTGACAAAAAGGAGTCAGTCTAGTCATAAAATTTACATCACCTAACTTTTTTACTATGTCTGTACCTACATGACTCAATAAAATTGTTTTTCCTGTTTTCCAGACCGTACGCTAACAGATGGAGCAAAACCATGATTGGTTACGGACCAGAAGACACTCATTTTGTTGTGGAGCTCACATACAACTATGGAATAACACATTATGACTTGGGAAATGATTTCATCGGCCTGACGATACAGTCCAGTGAGAGTCTCAAGAGGGCAGCAGCAAATAACTGGCCTGTAAAAGAACAGAACGGAGTCAAGTACCTAGAGGCACCTGGCGGCTACAAGTTCTTCATTATTGATAAGCCACAGCCAGTTGATAAGGGTAAGATATTTACAAAACATTGTTATGATTTGATAGATTGAAGTACTTTATTTTAAGTGGCTGCAGACAGTTGAATTACTTGCAACATTTATCCTTCTTGGTATATTATTTAGCTGAATGAATTCAAATTTAAAATTACACAGTTTTCTCAATCAATGAGATTTTTATCTGATTGACAGCATTGAAGTAATATTACTACGTATAGAACAGACATCGCGAACAAAATATGTACAGTGCGGGGTGCGGGGCGGGAATTTGACGGACAGCTGTCAGTCAAATCCATGACTATCAAGTTTCATAATTTATGGCGATAAAATCTGCACCAGAAAATGTCGTACTTCATTGATAGGATTGCACGAATAGTGACGTTCCTGCGGTCGCCTCATCATAGACATTGTGAAACGATTGTGAAAATAAACAAATCGGCTAAATTGTGTTAAATTTTCATGGTGCTCAATAGCAAAAAGGTTCAGCTACTTACATTATTTTCTTTTATTATATTGTGCGTTTCCTGTAATGTAATCTAAGCTCCCCTCCCTTAGACTAAAATTAGCCCTCCTAGACAAGTGACAAAACGTAGCAGTTGAAACATTCGAAATCACTTCGCTCTGCCGTTTTTTGGTGTTAGTTACTTCACTCTGTGATGCGATTTTAAAATTACAACTGGCGATTCCGAATTCACAACTGAGGGGACTGAGGCTAATCGTGTTACTTGTGCTACAAGTGCGTATGGGCTTCATACTGATGCTTAAGCCATTAATTATTTTTTTTCCCGATTAAAATCTAATGTAATCGATAATCGCCTTGAGAATCGTTAACTGGTATTTTCTAATTCGATAAAAAAATTACCCATCTCTAGTTGAAAACTGTCATCCAACAGCGCACGAAATATTATGAGTTATAGATAATGATACCATTACAGAGGCGACACTTCGTTTACGTTTAGTTTCTGCCTATTGAATTGGATACTGTAAGGAAACATCGTCATCATCATTTTAGCTACTGGACGTCCACTGCTGAACAAAGGCCTCCTCTAATGATTTCCACATCGCCCAGTTGATAGTGGCCTGCACCCAGCGTCTTCCTGCTATCTTCAGTCAGTCCATCTTGAGATTTTAGAAAAATTCCCACTCGTCACGGTAGGAACAAAGCTAGGGATGACCCACGCCTTCACTCCAGAACCAATAAAATAACTGAAAGTCAGAAACTTTCAGTTATTTTATTGTCTCTATTGTTAACTATCTCAGTGGTTGAGTACACGTATAATAGCTGTGAGGTAGAAGTTACGGGACTATTCCGAGTGCATTACCGCAGCAAAATTTTTATAAATGTTGTGCTTTAGAGAGTCGAGAGTATAGCAGTAATGTTTCAAACATTACCCCAGCAAAATGTGTTTTTTCCTAATAACTTTAAAACTATAATTTGAACGAATTTTGCTATTAGTGGACAAATTTCTGCTCACGATGGACTAATTATCTGCTATACTCTCGACTCTCTAAAGCACAACATTTATAAAAATTTTGCTGCGGTAATGCACTCGACTATTCCCACCTCTCCTTTTCACCGCTGCATCTCCTGTGTAGCTAGCACCTAGACTAGTTGATTTAAAGCCAAGGTATATCATATTTTAGGTAATGACTTAGTGCATCTAAAAATGTAAAACTTTCTAGTTTTTTGTAACATTGAAAAATCTAAAAAGAAGCATCATTTTTTTTACCAAGTGTTTCTAAGAAATTTAAATGGAAGCTTTTGATGACAACGTATTGCTTACTTTTTCAGCTGTCGAACGAATCACTTTTATACTCATAGGTCCTGTACATCGGTAGATTTGGTAAATAAATGAATCCATCCGGACTCAGAAACTAAAAAAAATAAAATAGCTGTAATTTTTTTATACTGGATTTGTCGATTAAATTGATCATATTACTGCGCTACTGGTGACCAGACACACTGTACAATTATTATAATTTTAGCCTATCTCGTGAGCTAGGTGTCAATAATTAGGGTGATTTACTAACTAACCAGTCTCATACGAACAACAGCAGTAAGATTCAAACAAGTTTGATCCATGATGCCGCACGACTATTGTGTGAGCCGCCCACCCGTAACCCAAGCTTATTTAGCTTAACACAAGGGGCTGGACGGGACTATTAGTAATTTGTGCAATACAAAGTGCTTATAATCTTTAAAAAAATCTTCCTTCCTTTCGTATACTAATTTATGCGTCAGTGTCAACTCTGCGATTTTTATTCTTTGAAATTTTCGTAAAATGGCTGCCGCCGCGGTGACGCCTTGTAATTAACAAATTAAAATTAAATTAGTGTTTTAAAGTGCATAAATGTACAACTTAATGGTAAAAAGTCATTCCTTGATTTTTACTTAATATGTATCTGGAGTTATTTGAACAGTATTTTCGTCTATAGGATGGCATATTTCAAAAAACAAAACTGCACTCAAGCGTGTTGTCACAGCAACCGCTGAGCACATACTAATTGTATTTCGGTCCGTGGACCTATTTACATGCCAGAAACAGTCTAGTTGACATGTCTTCTCTAGTACGTAGTACATTATAACTCAATGATTGACAGATAGTAATCAATGAAGAATAATGATTAGACTGTTATCTCAATAATAATTTTATTATTGGTCTCTTATCATAATATTCTTGATAAATCAAACTGATTTTAATAATTAGGCCTTATTATCTTTTATTGTTAAGATTATTTATTTTATCTTCATGCTTGGTCAATGGTCATGTAAACTCATGTACACACATGGAGCTTAGAAGCAAAGCTGTGTGTGTAATGACTGGTTTACAATTGTCCTTAATTACATTCCACTCCATTCTTGGGACCGACTCATGGTTCCCTTAAATCCATTGTGATATATTGTCCCTTTAAAGTTTCCCCTTTGGTCTATGAAGAAGCACTTAAAAAGCCACCAGCTTACAAAGCAAGTACTTGGAAATCTAAAGATATGATATACACCATGTAATCGCGATACAACTATCACGCCAATACCACGGCGTCTATGTAGCGCCTTCCATAAATTGGTATTGTTTGCACGCCATGGACATGCGATCAACACGTGGCGTGAAGTTTACGTCTAGGGACGCTTTCACTCTGAATATACGAAGACGGGACACGCAGGGACCACGCCCAGAAATGGGCTCTTGGGAGCATTGGTGTGTCTTTATACAACGTCTCCCAAAATTCAAGGATAAGCCGACGCCGCAGGGTGGACATAGTCATGACTGCTTTAGGAAAAATAAGAAAAAAAATCTATCTCAATTATTTTTTAAGTTACACAATAAATTATGAAATTCGTCGAAAATTGACACCCCTTATGATATTTTACATTACCACGACTACAATTTTTCAAATACTTCAGTTTTTTTGTTTGTATCGGCAACTTAAGTAGTGCTGCTGTCCACCCCAATTCTTAAAACCCTCAGAATCCTTGCAGTTTTTACACAAAAGTGAATCAAAATATGATATTTCCTTAAAATTTTGAACGATTTTTACTTACACTCCACTTTGACTCGTCGTTTTGTAAAAAAACAGTATGAACACTACTGCGGCAAGTTTGTTATAAAGTTGACGCAACTATCCAAGATTCCGAAATGGTATAATACTCTAAGAAAACTAGTCGCAAAAAAGATATGCGTACCATTTTTACAAGCATTTCGCTTGTAAGTTAGTATGAGATAAATCTTGCAACTGAATTTAAAACCAGTTCTCCTTAACCAATTGAGCTGAAATTTGGTATACTTGTGTAAGTACGATGACAATGCAATATTATGGTACCATTGAGCTGGATGGAGTATGGAGGTGGCCATAGGAACTCTTAACGAAACGGCGGAATTACATCTAGTTTGGGTTCGTTGGACTTGTCTTTTCGAGCACTTTTCAATTATTTTTTAAGTTACACAATAAATTATGAAATTCGTCGAAAATTGACACCCCTTATGATATTTTACATTACCACGACTACAATTTTTCAAATACTTCAGTTTTTTTGTTTGTATCGGCAACTTAAGTAGTGCTGCTGTCCACCCCAATTCTTAAAACCCTCAGAATCCTTGCAGTTTTTACACAAAAGTTAATCAAAATATGATATTTCCTTAAAATTTTGAACGATTTTTACTTACACTCCACTTTGACTCGTCGTTTTGTAAAAAAACAGTATGAACACTACTGCGGCAAGTTTGTTATAAAGTTGACGCAACTATCCAAGATTCCGAAATGGTATAATACTCTAAGAAAACTAGTCGCAAAAAAGATATGCGTACCATTTTTACAAGCATTTCGCTTGTAAGTTAGTATGAGATAAATCTTGCAACTGAATTTAAAACCAGTTCTCCTTAACCAATTGAGCTGAAATTTGGTATACTTGTGTAAGTACGATGACAATGCAATATTATGGTCCCATTGAGCTGGATGGAGTATGGAGGTGGCCATAGGAACTCTTAACGAAACGGCGGAATTACATCTAGTTTGGGTTCGTTGGACTTGTCTTTTCGAGCACTTTAGTGCTAGATGATGTTCAGGGTCCTGATGATGAAGTCAAGAGGTGGCAGGAGCTGGCCATAGGAACTCCTAAACGAAACGGCGGAAGCTTATCGAGTTTGGGTTCGTTGGATTTATCTTTTCGAGCACTTTAGTGCTAGATGATGTCCAGGGTCCTGATGATGAAGTCAATTATAATTTTCAAACGAAGTCAAGCTAGTTTTTAAATAAGTTTTTTTTATTACAACTTTATTTTAAGCTTTTTAGTTGTTTCTTAATCTCATGGCCTAAGTGCTCGGGAAGACAAATCCAACGAACCCAAACTCGATAAGTCTGTATTGCGTACTAAGGCAGAACCGTTGGAAAACCTTATCACAATTCTCGAAGACCTTAATCGAGTTTCCCAACAGGTAGGCCTTCGGATGAGTATGGAAAAAACGAAGCTTATGTCGAATGTCCATGTTGCTCCTTACCCAGTTTCGGTTAGGAGCTCGATTCTCGAGATTGTTGACAAGTAAGTATGTCTATCTCGGACAAACGATCAGCTAGGTAGTTAGATGCAATTTCGAGAAAGAGGTAAATCGTCGAATACGAAGACGAAAGTCTTCAATTAGTGTGTCAAAGTCAAAGTCAAAATTTCTTTATTTGTTTAGACTAATAAATAGTTCTTACAAATCGTCATTTTGCTCTTAAGGAGCCTCTACATGTCTCATAATCTTTTTACCCTACCAGCGCTTCGAGACCAACATTTGGCAAGTGCTGAGAAGAAGCGCCGCAACAAACTCAGTCACCACTGTCTGCCGGTTAATATAAATAAATATAAATAGTAGTAGTAGGTACATTCGATTCAGGAGCAGTTCACTGAATTTACCATGCATTCTTGTATGGTGTATCTTATAAGAATGGGTATACAAGATTGAGTGGTATATTAAACAAGGTAGTGACGTGCTAATATCTAGACTTACATATTAAGATACTAGTAGAAATGACTCGCATACATAAATTTGAATAACTTGGATTGACCAGTCCCCGAAAGCAGCGCCTGTTCACAGACATGACGAGTGAACCAGCCATCGCTTCACTCGACCATATTAGAGGGAATGTAACGACCCGCCTCACTACGCCACCACCCCAGAGACATTTTAGTGAGAATGACAATTCCAAGTTATCTCTTTTTTTTTACAAAACGACGAGTCAAAGTGGAGTGTAAGTAAAAATCGTTCAAAATTTTAAGGAAATATCATATTTTGATTCATTTTTGTGTAAAAACTGCAAGGATTCTGAGGGTTTTAAGAATTGGGGTGGACAGCAGCACTGCTTAAGTTGCCGATACAAACAAAAAAACTGAAGTATTTGAAAAATTGTAGTCGTGGTAATGTAAAATATCATAAGGGATGTCAATTTTCGACGAATTTCATAATTTATTGTGTAACTTAAAAAATAATTGAGATAGATTTTTTTTCTTATTTTTCCTAAAGCAGTCATGACTAGGTCCACCCTGCGGCGCCGGCTTATCCTTGAATTTTGGGACACGTTGTATAAACCAGTAATTAGAATATTAACTCTTTGAAAGTCGATCACGTACGTAAGGCTAAACTATTGATCTTAAAAAACTGTGTTTTCAGAGAAGGCTCGATGTCACTTGTGGTGCATAAATAAATTATCTTATAGTTATCTCCATTCATAGTGATAACAGTTATGATAATTTTTCTGCACTGTTCAAAATTAAGTATTATCCACTTATTTTAACTAAAGATAGAGTAGGTATAGGCTCTATAAAGCCATGTCATTGTGACAACATCTTTTTAAAACAGTAGAATACTGAAATTTAAGGAGAAATTGATAAGTTATATAGTTCAATTGTCACACTTTTATAAAGTTGTGATGACAAACAGAATCGACTTTGAGTCATCATCTGCCTATTCATCATGACATGCATGCAACTTTGGCCTTCCTAATTTACGCATTGAGCTTCTTCGGCTCAGTCATAATAACTATGTAATTCAATAGCATATTATGATCTTATTTCATTAGACAAGCCAAATTAATTATTGTATATTATTATGTTGTACCTATAATGTAAGGAAACAAAATTGTGCTAAACTGCATGCTATGTAAATTAAGCTTCACACAATGTTGTGTACTTCTGCCTCAACACTTTTTGTATTGATATTTTAATATTTTGTACACTATCATTATCATGATCAAATTGTGCAGACATCGGGAAAACACGTCGGCCACTTTTTAAAGCTGACAGTAGATTATAAAATTTATTTCTTGTCGTGAGAAGTTTGGATGTAGGGTAAATATAAACGGTACGAAGAACGTTTTTAGCACTCTTGTTCCGTATCTGTCACGTAATAGGCGCCCGGTAAAAGTTTGGATCATTTTATACTATTAAAAATGTTAGACCATTTTCAATGGATAGAGGTTCGTATTATTTATTTTTATTTGAATTAAAATTTCTACTTCTCTCATCACCTCATAGTTATGACAGAAGGTCGGCGGGTGAGCTTTTGGGTTGTTATTTGTTGTTGTTTTAGCATTGCATCGCTATTATATTGGCTAATTGCGACGCTATTATAATTAAACACTTAAGATTTATGAAACACTTATACAATTACACTAAGATAGCGATAATATATTATCCTTAAATGTACCTTAAATTTTTCCATGACAAAATTGTTATACATATAGGATTTCGTTATCAAAGATAAGAATAAAGATTGTATACAATGTTGCACCATACTTATTGACATTATAAGTGTTTCTATGGATGATGACAACTCTCTTGTATTGGAGACACTCAAATTAAGATTGTTGGGTTCCTTGAACATTTTCAAACATTCCAACATCAGACATCCATCTGTCAGACAACTATGCACTAGATTTCGCGATCCGAACACTCGCACTTTCATTTTGCTGCATGATTTAATAGATTAGTTAGATGACAGAACCGTTTTAACGCAGCAACTAACTTAAGTTTTAATTCCTTCCAAAATGGAACAAGAATTTTGCTTACTATAGCTTCTCTACCCTTTTTAACTATGGTCACAGACAATTTTCAGGTTTATCTTGACTTTGTGGTACAACCAACTAATGATAATAATTTTTATTCTTTTCAGATCCTGTCGTAAAGGTGTCGCTCGCAAGTTCAAATCTGGCCAAGTCCATTGCGTACTGGAATGGTCTCCTCACACTGAAGATCTTCGAAAAAACCGACAAATCTGTAATCCTTGGGTTCAGCGAGGACCAAGCAAAATTGGAATTAGTTGAAATAAGTAAGATATTTTGTTATTATTTATTGCACTAATTACTTACACAAACAAATCGTCATTTGCAGTCGCAATATAAAATCTTATTCTAAATCTTATGTCCCAGTATTTTCAGTAGATTATTCTATAAATAGCTTGATTGCATCAATTGCATGGTTGACTGAACAAAGCGTCGTCAAGGTTGCAACCGTTTTCTTTGATATTTATTGCAACTAAATAACGTTATTTGTGACATGGGCCTTCAGTTAAGTTTTATGAGTTATGTGGATATTATTCATGAAAACAACACAGGTTTACAGACAGGTGGGAAAAACTACTACAGCAAAGTTATACCATTTGCATTATCGCAAAGTATAATTATTCGACGTTTTCCTGTTCATCAGTTTTAAAAGATCCCAATATGTATACTTATGTAGCTGTTGTACATGACGATACATCAAGCTCGATACTGTTGTGTCTTAAGGCTATTTCGCTCCGTATCTACCAGAGCGTCGATGTAACGTCACGGCTGCCAGATGCGCAGTCGGTCGGGTTGTAAACTGCAACTGAGAAATTCTATCCAAGAAATAAAATAATTAACCAATATTTTTAAAACAGGTGGCCCCGTGAACCGCGCGAAGGCATACGGCCGCATCGCCTTCGCCTGCCCATTCGAAGTCCAGCCAATCATCGACAAAAAGATCCAAGAAGCCAACGGAACCATCCTCACACCCCTCATATCCCTCGACACCCCTGGAAAAGCCACAGTCAGGGTCATCATCCTCGCAGACCCTGACGGCCACGAGATATGCTTTGTAGATGACGAGAGTTTCAGACAACTGTCTCAAGTCGACCCCAACAGCGATGCTGATTTGGACAAGTTCATCAAATCAGACAAATCCAGAGCATAATGTATGTTAACTTTTCAGACAGCTTTTCATGAGTATCTTTAGCGTTTTGGATTTTTATTTAAATAAAACGTTTTGTTGAGCTGGATGTCAGTGGTCTGTTTGCAGGACTGCACACGGAAAATTGTATAAAAACTGTTGGAATAATAATAAGGGTTCCTTGTAAGGACTATGGAACCCTAAAAAGGACAATTTTACTTACCAATAGGTACTTAGGAATTGGTCTTGCAAATGACTACTTACATCTGCCTCAAAACGACTTATTTGAAAGAGACCTTAAAGTACTTAGCATAAAATGTGATAAAATTATTTCTTATTTTGGTGTTTGTGTAATTTTAGCATTCCTTGTTAATTGAAGTTTTAATTATTATTATAAGTATATCGTTAGTGTACTGCATTGTTTCTTTGATATGTACACAGCATTTCTTCAGTACGCATGTACCTGTAATTTGTACAACTAACCAATGCTATGCGAAAAAATATCTACTAACTTAAAAATATATTTACATTGAGTAATATTTGCATACAGTTTTATTTTAGACAATATTGCATGCCTATGCTAAACGGTAACTAAAGAGGACAATACTGAAAATACATAACGCTAAACACTAACTAACATCTCATTTTGCGACAAAACTACACAACCCTCTTCAAGTTATCATGATGCCATAAAAACAACAATACTAAGAAAAAAATAACTTGTGACCAAGATAGCATAACTTTATCGTGGACTACATGTATTGCATTTAGGGCATAGTAAATGAATGCACCTGAAACGCAAAGTTGCATGAAAGTATTATTGATACGTCAGGGTCTTTCGGAAAAGAAATCTGCCATTACGACTATATTCGTGACGCATGCTATTCAAGTTTTATTTTAAAAGAAGCGAGTTGCGGCAGTGTCAGCAAGCCTAATGGCATGTTGTTATTGATTAAATATGTACTGTACTTACCTTTATTGCGCCCCTTTAGCAGCATATTGCATAGCACATAGGTTTACTAACAAGATTGTGAATCACAAGAATGGATAGACTTTATTGCACCAGTCATAAAACTGGATAATATGTTCCTTCATGCACCTAAACATTGCTGGAATCGAACCTGCGAAAGATGCACAGTGACCCTAGACTAAGAGCGGCCGTAAAATTATATTTTAGAAAACAACCGAGTAAAAAAATCAACTGCGATCTTCTACGCAATAATGGGCGCAATGAAAATTCAATTAGAAAATACTGAACTACACACATCGTAGAAGTTGCGGCGCTTTATGAAATTTGTACCTTCCACAGCCACGGAGAAGTAACAAGATTATCCCGGATTTTCCAGCCATTTCCTTTTTCATTAGTCGATAAACCTTGTTAGCTCGAGTAGCTGCGATTGCGTCCGATGCAGTCTCGTAGACATGAGGCTATATCGTAGGTAGAGTAATAAAATTGACAGTAAGTTCGTTCGATTTGTGATTAAGATTAATGTCAATTAATGAAGTGATCATCAAATAATATTATTATTGATTTTAACAAGTTAACTGGTAGAGACTGCATTATTAAGTTCACCTATTATAAGTACCTCAATTTCGAGTGCGATAGAGCTTTCATATTTCCTCCTACGCAAAAAACAAAACTTATAAAAATCAACACGGATGTCGACTCTTGAAAAATGTGAAAATTGACACTGGCATTTTAATTTATTTATCTTTCCGTAATAAATAATGGCTGCAATTTTTCCAAGTGCAAGTGCCCAAAGTGCATTATTCTTTTAACGTTAGTAACCCATCATAACAAATAATTCTTCGGAGTCAATAATGCTTTCTAAAAATAGACACAAATATAAAAGTTACCGAGAACAGAGCCCATAAACACATCCGTTTTCTTTACCTACTGCAATACTGTGAACTATAAATTCGTTACTTTCGGATCAAAGGGCGATTGTGTCTAACCCAGCATTGCGGCCTCGTTTCGGGCACAGCTGCATTCAGAGACTTGATTAATATCAAAGGCAACTCATATTCTTAATGAGTAAAGGATTTAATGAAAATACTTGGATTGGTTAGTCAAGAAAGATAAGATTAATTTAACCGTAGAAATCGTCACATGTGCAATCTTAAATTTAAATAAAATAACATCTGTATCCATAATCCGGCACGCAAATTAAACACTCATTAAAAAAAACTACCTTGCGTTCAGAACTGCTGAAAACAGGTAAAAACCGATAACAAAACAATGCAGACCAACTGAATTTTGATAATGAAGATTTTTTAAGGTTAATAAGTGTGTAATTTTAATTTTAATCCCTGTTATCCGATTCAAGAAGGCTACGAGTATGTTAGGAGTTGCCACTAAAGTCCAGCAACTCGGATCTCAAATCGGCAGTCTAATGCCACTGGGTTATCTAATGTCGCTTGGGCTATACAGTATACAGTAACAGGTAACTAAGGTAACAGTGTAGACTGCACTGGTCCGGTCGAAGATTATTTTGCTCAGAGTTCCTTATTTGGTTGTATAATGAAGTTACCATCGCCTATTATGATTGAAATCATTACATTAATGAGTGGTTCCGTTACGGCAGGCTGCGATGGACCATAACGCATAACAATATTAGCAATCGCGCTCACCGTACAAAAACCCGTTTAGTCATGCGTGCTATGTTCCTATCTTGTACAATTATGATGAAATTGCTAGCAATTTGTAGCGTTTTTTGGCATTTAGCTACGTTGACAGTGATACATGTTTATTGTAAAAATGTAGAGTCAATTTCGGGAAAATTTCACTGAACGGTTAAAAAAAATTTGACGTAGAGTTATTTTAACTAACTAGTTGATTATTATTTCAAAATACTTGACAGTTTAAATAATAACATACTTTGCACGTTTTTTTAATAATGTAAATGAAAATTATAGAGCAACAAGACATATAATTTCTTTGTTCGTTGATAGTTGAAAATTTAAATCAGATTATAGGATGTTTATTGTTTATATCGAGGGCACTTATCTGATATGCAGTTTATGAGAAAATTAAGAGAGAGTCCAAGTGTTAATTCGTGTCAGACATTTTAAAAGGCTATTAACTGATTAGAAACTGTGGGACTGTAATTAAGAATGATACGAGCGAGATTTTATGATTAAGATTGAAATATCAAGTGAGTACAAGGTGTAATTGTTTTTTTTTGCGTTTAAATAAAATAATATTATGTAACGTAGGTATCATTTAACAGATTAAGTAGTTAATCTACTCGTACAGTAAAATTTTTCACATAAATCGCTGGATGACTCTATAAAATTGTTATCGTGGTTAGTTTTATTTAGTCAAGTGGTTCTACAGCTAGATGTTACGGCGTAGTTTAGCAAAAAATAATAAAATGCTACATAATAGAGACGGTCGGGTAGATATATCTAATCCATTTCCAATCTCGGCGTTTATCGAGCCTGCGAATAATAGGCGGCTCGGTAGGTATCACGTCGATAATAGATCCACGACCTGTCATAAATTTCATTGCAATCGAGGATCCGGCTGATCAATTTGGTCACGGAGCCGGCGGTGGGGGGCGGGGGGAGCCAGGGCGCGTGCGCGGGCCCGGGAGCGGCCCGGGGGCTCCAGTGCGCGAGTCGCCGCCGCCTGCCGCGCCGCCGCCATGGCCGCGCGCCGCGACCGCTGACCGCAGCGACCGACCGCGCCCGGCTTCGCTCCACGCGACGCACGACTCCCTCGCCCCACACCTCGCTGCGCCGCCGCTAGGTAAAGTATCTCGCGGCACTAGACAAGCGCCCGACGGCGCCGCTGCGGCCCGCGTCACGCGAGCTGGCCCGCGCTTTGTCCTGCGGTGACCGCGCGACTCGCCGCCCGCCCTCCGCCCACCGTTCATGACGATACATAGGTAAAGTTATCACAACACGACGTTACCCGGACGATATCTACTGACTGGTTCGCTGGTTCTGGTTGATTCCTTGTGGTGGTGAGGTGACCCGTTCTCGACGGTTGGGTGTTGCGCCTCCGACTGCTCCGATGCTCCATCGGTTAGTTACCATTTTTTTTTTCATGAATAATGATAACGCAATCGCTTGAGATTCAGATTAGATGAGTAGATAGGAGCTTTTTTAAGTGCGAGCTAAGTGGTGACTTGGTCACTGTTACATAATGGACCATCTTCGTTGCCAGCCGATGTTACGACACGAGATGCTCGATTATGGAACTGAGGGATGTTCTATTGTGTTTTGAGTTTTCGGATTGATCGCTTTGGCTAAGCTTAGTTTGTGGTATAACTTATTCCGATGAGATCCCTCCGAAGGCCCCAAGACTTTAGTGATTAAGAATGTTTGGTTAATGAGCATCCGTCTCCTGTAGATGGTAGAAGACTGCCAATGGAGACGCGGGGCCGTGTTAGCGGAGGTCGGTGGTAATTGACATTAACGGAGACAGAAATGTGCGGCGTAGTCCATGGGATCAGACGTGCCGCTCATCCGGCGCCTCTCGCTATGCGGAGCCGGACCACCCCTCAGAAATGAGGTACATACTTAATTCATACTGTGTATATGTTATTATGACCTTCCTAACTCAGTGTTACGAAAGAAGCTGTGATGTCGCTTCTCTCACATTTATCGTTTTGTACAAATTGCTAATGACGTTATTTACTTACGAACTTAACAGTATTCCTGCAATTTTAACACATCGATCGATGTTTATTAATGAAAGTTTTTGAAATTGCGACGCTATATGTGATAAACAATACACTTTAGCGCTCTACATAGAGACAGTAATTCAAAATAAAGGAAATGTTCATTTAAAATTTTATAGAGGGATATAAAGTGCACTAACCTCATTTTATGATCTTCTTTCTTACGTTTCGCTAACAACGAGTCGCGTAATTGTTACTTAACCGTTTTTATTTTCGAATGAAATGCTTCAGCCATAGAATTTTCAACCCTTTTTAGTATTTTTATGTGTATTTGTGTGTATAGTTAGTTAGTTAGGTATCGCTATAGAATAATCTTAACATTTCTCTAGCCAAGGTCAACGATGGCCTCGCTTTGAGGACAGCATGGCCTAGCTAGGCTATCACATCTATGAGTAAACACATCAAAACCTCGAGGTTACGCATGACAAAGCTTTGCAGATTAGCAAAGCTGTACGATAAAGATTCTCTGTAAAGTTACGCACGTCGGATTATGATATGAGAACCGAGCAATTTATTGAACATTTTAGTTTGTGATTACTAATTAATCTTTTTTATTTCCACATCTGGGCCTTGGTTTTTCCAAAACCACCTAGTATCTGTCTTTAAGTTGGCCTCGGACATGCGCAGAAAGTAAAGAAAGATTTCCCCCGCGAGGCCCTGTGATTGTCTTCGCGCACAGATCCCCGGGTTTGATACCCAGCTGTTCGTTATTAAATACTAGTGATACGCCCCGGTTTTGCTTGGGTACTAAATTATATGCTCACAATAATACTCTTCTTTGTGAATTAATCAGTGGAGGAACATAACGGCATTTAAGTAACCAGTATTTTTAATGATTATGTTCTCATATTTTTATTAAAATGCTATTGGATTCTGCGCCTATGATCGCATAAAGTTAGAAACTTAACATTTTCAAATTAATACTTATTCACGGATTAAGTCTTTTTTTGTTACGACGTTAGGGAAAACACAAATTACCTAGGTCATTTATTATCTTCAGTATTTCTGGATAATAATAGTGTTTGCTGTTGGGATTAATGAGCGTTTATGACTTTTTTCTGGTGTAATTTCGGAAAATATTAGTTTTTTTAGACAAAGCTCTATGTGTATCACTTTCCGCCACAACCCACTTTGCTTTTTGTAAACGTAACTCTACATTTATCTTTCAGCTGTCACTACTTATATGAAGTAGGTACATACTATTCTCTAATTAAATTATAGTAATCATACTAATCATGCTCAAATAGCTGACAATACATAAAAATTAATGAAGAGTTAGATACGTTAATTTAGTAGAGACGTTGGTAACATGACTTGTTGTACAAGTTATAAAAAAATACAACATAATATCCTACTAGTTAATATCCATTAGGTACCTACTGAAGAGATTTCTACATATTATTATGAATGATTTTTATATAAACAGTAAACACGTTATCAGATCTGATAATTTGTAGTAAATAGGTTTTATCTAAAGGAAAACTGATTTTCATATGAAACTGCTGTTGTAAGAAGGTAGTCATGTAAAAGCTTTAGTTCATTTCTTTAAACAAGAGTTCACATCGTGAAAATAATATTAATAAACCTACCTATCTACTTAACTGATTTCAAAAACGCACTGTATTATATCTATAACGTCTCAACGTTTTCCATAACCACATAATCTAGTAATCAAAACAGTTAGTTCGGTTTTTTATCAGCAATTCTGGCACCAATTAAATTATTACGATTTCCTCATTTTCATACTTGAATTGGCCACACGTAAACACTGTGGGTAAACAGATGCCTCACCTAGCGGTGTTTTCAGCATTCAGTGAAATTTTATTACACTCTGGTTAATGTAATTGCAAGATAGCGGAGTTTGGCGAAAAATATTCTGTTAAGAGGCGCCGTTGATCGGCTAATGGGCTATTAACGGGTTAGCCTATATTTAACTGTCGGTAATTTTGTGTTTAAAATGTAATTAAAGTCCCTTTTTAATTGAAATGGCTTCAATTTATTTTTTAACTCAGTAAATAAAATGCACATTTAATTTAATTTAACAAAAATTGGGAGTAATAGCACAGAATAAAATAAGTAGGGTAAACCGTATAGCTATTGCCCACTTAAAGATTTCAAACACATTGAGATGAAAAATTAAAGAAAGTATTTTAATTATCGACCATTTATGACTTTTTTCTTATAACTCAATAAACTGTTAAACAGAATATTAACAGTTTTTAGTAAAAACTTACGTAACTTAGAAAATATTGAAATAAATTTAAAATCCTCCAAAAAGTACAGTCATTGCCCATTACTTACACTAATTGCCCACATCAAAGCACAGTAATTGCCCAGTATCTTAAAACAAAATAATCAAATTTAAAATGACAAAATAGGCTTTAAATAAACAAAACAAAACATTAAACTTAAATTCTAGTAGTACAGTCTTCAAAATTTCAAAATAAATTGCGTTTGGCCTTATTAAAACATATTATCAAATATTTCTTGAGCTGATGTTGATGAGTCAGAATCGGTAGATACAGAATCATCTACTTCAAAACATAGATGACGAAAAAATTTGAATTTTATTTGTAAATTTTATATTTATTTATTTTTTTATCTTCTTTGATATCAGTTCAAGTGGTTGCTCAGAATGTTCAATTAGCTGTTAGTTATTCTTCCCTAGTTGTATCTATTTCCTTACAATTAACATTTTCACTAGTAGATTTAACGTAGGATTTTCATTTTTTGTATTTGCGTTTGGAATTTTTATCAATTTTTTCAAGCCAAACCATATTTTTCAGCAATTTATCTTGTAGATAAATTGTTGGATACATCTTGTACAGCTTGGATCGCTTTTTGCAAATTTTCTATGCTATATTGAACTTTTGGAGTCTTTGGCATACTGAAAATGAAACATTAAAAGCCATTTCAATATTTATGCCTGTAAATTGCAAAACAAGTCTAGCAATGAGCAACTTAAACACTGCTACTGCATGGTGGCAACACTCTAATAATAATTGCCCTGGGCAATAACTATACATTAACATATGGCAATAACTGAAATGATGGTGGGCAATAACTAAAAATATACAGATTTACGTGCAGTGATTACCCACCGTTAAAATGACCGTTAGAAATCAAATTTTGTCAGTTATTTTCATTGATATTGGAGAAAACACTCATAATTTAATCATGATTATACACCATTACTTGAATATTAAATAACTTGCAAAAAAAATTTAACCTCTAAGCAAGTAATTCCTTAGTAAAATTGTTAAAGTCTTTACCTGTTTGAGTAACATTTTCACCCGTCTTGACAAAATCCGCCATAACTGTTTTTTTTTGTGTTTCCTATTGTAAATTTTAAATCTACTGTACATTGATCTCGGAGCCATCTACTTAGTAAATTCAAATCTAACTAGAGTGATTCAAAGTCAGCACCTGACAATATTATTCTTAAAGCGGGCAATCACTACCAGTGGGCAATCACTCTCTGGTTTACCCTACCTACTATGTAGTAAAATTTTAAATAAGACAATACCCTGAGAACCATAGCTGAAAATCGTTGAAATAGTAGCTAAATACATGGTGTCAAATATTTCATTATGCCTACTTTATGTTAGACCACTATTTTCGCCACACCCTGTAACATTATAGGTCAAAATATTGTTGGTAGTCACTGACCTACTTTAATATGTAGAGTAATGTTAATTTAGGAGAATGATTGTAGTTTAATTAATATCTTTAGACGAGCAAATATCTCGGCAAAGCTGTCAACAAATAAGTATTTAATTTCCCAGATCAGGTAGCAGGTGATGCACCTTAAAAGCAAGGTTAAAACCGTAAGCGGAGTTATTATCCTCTCAGGGAGCCTCACGCGACGGTGCACTTATCTCACTTATCTTAAGGTGCTTAAGCCTCCAAAATTCCCCCATGACTCTAAAATTTACGACCCGAGGTGAGGTTTTAGCGGACGCGGTCTTATCTTTTTTATCTGAAGATATTGCGAGACGTCGCTCGTTTGCTAAATAGTTGTCGAACATTACCGCTGTAGCCTGTAAGGCCCCAGTCCGGTAATTGCGCTGTTATCGTAGTGTGGAGATGTGTGCTGACACGTCTCCAAGACGCATGAATGGGTACCACAGTGATAATGTGTGACGCATGATATACGGTGCGGTACAGTGAGTGTGCGATGTGCCTTTTGAACACATAGGACGAGGTTAGTGATTCTGGAATATAATAATAGGTATCTTTGTTTATATCTTGTTCAAGTTCTCACTTTATTCACAAAAAATAGAGTCTTTAAACTTAGTATTAAAACTTTGCCTCGTTTACAAATGCACGCACTTAGCTCAATAATGAGGTCATTAATTGTTATAGTATTGCTCTTAAGCAGAAATGATAAAAATCAGTCCAAATTGCCTAAAATATTACATTTTATAACATCTGGGGGCACGGCAGTGCCCCCGCCAAGTCGAGCGCGAAGCAAACACTGCCGTACCATCCTTTACTGGAACCATTTCGCCGCATTTTCAGGCCTCTATTTGAGAACCTTTAGATAAGACCAGAACGCAGAAATTTTCGTCATCTAGTAAGCTATAATCACACACTTAAAATCCAAAATTTCAAGTCTGTAGGTCAATTAGTTCCGAAGTTAAGCGAAAGCAAAGTTTCGCATTTATGACACTCACTCACTCACTGATGATCATCAAAATAGAACTAGTACTTCCCATTAACTCAGAGAGCTGAAATTTGGTACAGAGTTAGGGTTTAATGGCCACATAAAGGGAAAACTATAAAAACTAGGAAAATCGAAGATCTGGAGTAACACCACATTCATAATAAT